TGGTAGCCAGGTCGTTTCTGAAAAATAAGTTAATACCTCCGTGGGCTTTGCCTGGTAGGACGGGGGTGGTTTAATTTTATTTTAATGTTTTTGGGTGACTTGTTTACCTGTCTTGTACTTGGCACTACTGTCGTGTTGTACTCTTTGTTGTTGTCACGTTCTTACCCCGTGCCCCCTACTGGCCATCTGTGAAAAAGAGCTTTTTAGCTCATCGGATTCCTCCTGCATTCTAAATACAGATTCTGATTCTGAGAGAGAGTTCTTCCCCATCAGGCTTTCTTGGGTAAACAAAGTGTAATCACAAATAGTCATTAACAAGTGGGCTGCGGTTTACCTCTGCCTTCGTGTAACGAAAACATTTTGCACGCCGTTTTCGGTGTGCTCTGAAGTTATGCGCTCAAAGGTTGTGCTGTTTAACTGAAGCTTGAACAAAGGGGCTTTACAGCAGAAGTTGCCATCGATTGATCGTTGGTGACTGCTGAACAATGATAGGAATTTCGTTGGGGGGGAGTTGCAAGCAAGTGAACAATATGGTCCTTGGATGTGCTCCCTGCTGCTTCTTTTGCAATGTTTAGCTGTCACGAGGGAGCTTACCAGATCAGTTGTGCATGTTTTGGAGTATCAGTAGCGCGATTTGGTTTGGAAACTTGTTATTATTTTGGTTTACCATACAATGATTACAATCTAAGTAAGTGCCGCGGGGAATGAGAATAATCTGTTTCGATCCAGTTCATCACGTTGTCATATATGATTAGTAGGCCCGAGAGGGCCTTTGTTATTGAGCGTGGTTCAAGTTTATTTGTCACAAAACATTTCACGTGGTTGGAGGCTGCGAGTAATTTAAAACTTTACGTAGCCTGCCAACAACTTGCCGCGCACTGCAGTGTCACGATGAACAGCTGATCGAGCCACCGAAATCCATGGCTTGTTTGGAGCTGCGATATGAAGCCGGTTCTCCGTTTACATCACGACGCCACACCACGTCTCACGGAAACCTCTCACCTGCGGAGCGGTCGTGACGCATTCTGAACGCGGCTCTTCTTCTCGTATGGCCATGAAGGAGCCTCCACTATCTCAAGCTTAATACAGCGGACGAGATGTTAACTGGTATGCAAGAGGTCGTGGGTTTCACCCTGACCCTGACGATGACCTCTATATTTGGAGTTTGCGTGGATTTTTCTCCGATTCCTCCAGTTTTTTTCCCACCCCCATTTAGAATTAACATGCGTTTATTTGGTTGCTATAAATGTCCACGTGATAAGCCACTTGGTTGAGCTATCATTTGTTATAGCTCGGTCGCAAGAGCTGTATAGCTCAGTGGACTTTACCTGGTAAAATAATAAATAGTTTATACAGCTGTTTATACAGCCAGTCAAGGCCCCTTCAATGCTTCGGGTTAAACCAACAATCTTCGTTTTAAATAATGGAATGATCTTGCGTACACTTTATGTTGCGAACACGTGTAGGCAGTTGTGTTGTTTGCCTTTTTTATCAAATGAGGCTGAGGGGGTGGCAGGGGGGGGGGGTGTTATCGGTTGTTCTTTGGTAAACAGCATGGGGTGTTGGGCATCTGAAATTCATTACGAACGGACCACTCGCGGCACACTCCGGCACCATCGCCCGCCCGCCCATCCAACCACGGACCACCCCACCATCCCCAGCGTTAGAGCTCTCAAAACTCCCGTGTGTCATGGGCCGCAGTGGAGACTTCCTCACACCTTCACCGTGCTCGCCATCGGCTTGGATAACCCGGGATCGCGGCACTCCCTCTGCCTTGGAGAGGCCGAGAGTCGTGATGTTCACTCTACAGAGTAAGACGGCTTCTTCTCTTCCATTCATACCGCTTACGCAGTTAACCCACAACACATCGTTATTGGAAGCAAGTTCGTATCTCAATTCGTATTTCACTCAAAACTGTTCACGTGCCAACATTCTAACAAGTGTATTCGGCACCACGGTGTAAAGTGATATCTTCAAGTGTTGCAAGTCACTCAATATTCTTCACTCGCTCTGCTCTCAATAATGGATACTGCCAGGAACATTAGCGTTTTATGTGCCTTGAGTTACGAGGTAGTGTCTGTGACGTACGTACGTTGAACTTTTTTCGCACCGTACGCAGGCAACCGTGCTTATCGGAGGTGCGGGGTTAATGTTACGATCACAGAAGTTTTTGTATCGCTCTGCAAGGTTGTGTTCATGTACAGGCGAGTGTGTGTATTGAATGAAAAAACACCCACATTTAACTTGCCAATCCATTGAGCCGCTAAAATAAGGTCTGCAATGCCCGGTGTACTTTAGCACATCACCTAAGCCCATTGTTAGTCACTGTGTACCCGTCTGAGATTGTGTGTGTGTATATAGAGCACCTTAGAGCTTAGGATGAGTCACGTTTGCTCCCCGCCCTAGGTGAAACCGCGCCGCCCTGCGAGGAGCCGAGCGCTTTGTTACCCGAGTGGTGAGACCTCGCGATGTAATGTGAACGCGCAAAGTCGCGTAGATAAATGCAGTTGGACGACAAAGCAGATTGCGGCGATTACAGTCGCCAACTGTTACATTTTCTAACTGTGCAACAGCCCGTTGAGGTTGTCAGTGTGTTAGTGAGGAAATAAAGTCAATTATTAGTCACGCAATCTAACTACGTCATTGACATTGGACTTGTATGATCAAACGACCCGGAATGCGCCTGATCTTGTCAGATCTCGGAAGCTAAGCAGATTTAAGCCTGGTTAGTGCTTGCAATAGGGGCCCACCATTACACAAATACTCTTTGAATAGTACCCATCACATCCCCACGGTCATTCCACCGACGGTGCAACGTGGCGAGCGCCGTGAGACAAAGGTCCGTCTTTGAAGCGAGCTTTCGGATGCAAATGCACACAGGTTTCACGGAATCCAACAGCACACCTCCGATCGACGCGCGGTTGGCTACGTACGGCGCGAAATAAGTTCAACGTAATGACATACAACAACAAAAAACTATTACGTGAATAAAATTTAAACGCCAACACCAACAAAGAAATGTTTGAAAGACATTGAGCAAAATAACCTAATTATAAAAATGTACACACTTCCCCAGGGATAAAGTCTCACTTGCTTTTGTCTTGAGATTAAAATTAAAACACATTTGCAATGACAGTTATATTCATGATATCGTAATTATTGTATTTTACTTTTGGAACAACTTGTGTAACGTTTCGCCCGATGGCAGCCGTACATTCATTTTGATTTAAAGCTTTCGTGACTGCAGGGATTCATCTTCTTGGTTTTTTCGGTAAAGTCACGTAGAATGAAAATAAAATAATAAAAATAAAACATAACAAAATAAAATTCTCACGACGTTTCGGCCACAACACAAGTAGGCTTCCTCAGGTGAAGAAACAGAACTGTCGGGAATACAGCGCTTCAGTGAACACTGCCAAGCTTGGCAGAACATCTCGCCCTGCGCCTAAAAGCCAGAGAATGCATCGTGACAATAACAGTGCACTTTGTTTCCACGGAAAATCCTCACCGAGATACAGGACTTGATTTTTAGGAGGTTCCTACATTGGAATGTTGGTCCCATTTTGTTCATTTGTGTTTTTTGGCATGTCGGAGAAAATCAGAACACCCGGGGAAACCCCACACAATCGAGGGCATAACACTTGGTGCTTCACAAGAAGGATTATTTTTTTCTGTTTTGCAACCAGTAGAGGATGATTCATGTTTGGAGAAGAGTGGTGGTGCCTGTTTAGAAACCGCACAGCCTGTGTGACCCCAGCCGTATTATCGGATTCATACCTGAGTGGGCGCTAAGATCCTCTTGACCATTCCTTGTGTGGAAGAGGCTTGCCTGACGGTGCTGCTGCCACTTGAGCTGCGGGCCAGGCTTGAGTGAAGCCAGTTTGTGTCATCGGCTGTGTTAAGTCACCCTTTCCCATTCCGATGATGTCACGGGGGGCCACAGCGGGCGAGATGTTAACTACCTCGCCTGGTATACAGGAGGTTGTGAGTTCGATCCCAACCCTTACGGCTGTATATTTGGAGTTTGCATGCTCTCTCTTCCCGTGGTCGTGTGGATTTTTTTCCGGGTCCTCCGGTTTTTCCCTCCACATTTATAAACATGCATTCAGAGTATTTAGCTGCTATGAATTTCCACGTGATAAGCCACTTCGTTAAGCAGTCATTTATGGCCAGATCGCTTCTGAAAAAGAGCTACATAGCTCAGTCATCAGATTGGAGCCGAACGAAAACTTTGAATAAAATTACTTCATCGGTACCAAGGCTCCCACAAGGCAATGCGAGAGGGAGTGTGGCACAGTTTGGTGCCAGCTATCGTAGAGTGCGGTCGTGTCACTATGGTTCTCTACAGTGAGTGCAATGTCTTTAAAAACAATGATGCCTACGTCCCTCTAATTAAAATTAACGCTAACCGCTGAGAGTTCCGAGATTCAGCGGTGAACAGGACCCCCACCCTGCAACTTGCAGACGTCTCGGAACGAGAAAGGGTTCAATTCCATTAGCCTGACTCCAGCACGTTGGGTCCCTAAGGGGACAGGGCTGCATTGTTAGCACACAAAGAAGCCGTGCTTTAATGGGGGTTGTGTTTTCCAGCGTGTATTATTCCAGTAAATCGGTGCTCTGGTTAGAGCGCTTGGCTCACAGTTGGAAGGTGTCGCACATTCAAGTTACCTGCTGGGGATTGACTCGTCCCATCATTCCTCCGGGGTGAATAAAATCAATACCGCATTATGGGAAGTCAACAGTAGTCGTTGTGAGGGTGATTTGTGCCTGCCATGGGAATGTTGAAAGTCCACCACTAGCTCCAGGCTGTAAACCAGGACATTACCCCACGCTCGAGCAGGAAGCCACCCCCGTGCCACCCCCGTGCCACCCCCATGCCACCCCCATGCCACCCCCATGCTCTCCTGTGCCCCTCCCGTGCCCCTCCCGTGCCCCTTTACCCACCCGTGTCTAACGTGTGTGCATCGTCTGCGTCACCTCCCCGCACCCGTGCACGCTAGTGGTGTGGGTGCAGGACATGACGTCGCAGCACGAGCGGGTGCTGGAACGCCAGGGAGGTGCCGCCACGCAGGCCGAGCTGGAGGAGGAGTCTGGCGCTGTGGCAGTGGCGGCTGCGCCGGGCTCGTCTCCGGCACGCTCGCCCAGCGAGTCGGAGCCCTGCTCCTCCGTGCTGCAGAGCTTCGCCTCCGACCTCGACACGCAGGTGCGCGCACCGCCCGTCCTCGGCCTGTTGACGCCGGCTCGTCGGCCTCCCCGGAGGAAGTGAGTCCTGTGCGTTGTGGGCGCGTCATGGAACACAGGCCCCCTACCTCCCCCCCCCTCAACACCCACAGCGGCTATGAGATGTCAACTACCTTACCTTGTGTACAGGAGGTCGTGGGTTCGATCCCGACCTGGACGCCTGCTGTATATTTGGAGTAATCCCTTGTTTAACGCTGTTGATGCATTCCTGAAAAGGACGGCTTTAATCGAGGAATAACTGTTATGAATCAAATTTGCACTCTAAAATCAGCCTGCAGTAATCCCTTGGCAGGACAAAGACCGGATGATATGAGGGTACGCCATGGGGGTGAGATGTTAACTCCCTCGCCTGGTATGCAGGAGGTCGTGGGTTCGATCCCGACGCCTGTAAATTTGGAGTTTGCATGTCTCTCTTTCCGTGGTCACATGGATTTTTCCCCGGTTCCTCTGGTTTTTCTCCTCCACATTTAGAATCAACGTCACGCGTTGAGAGTTATTTGGCTGTTATAAATTACCACGTGATAAGCCGATCCGTTGAGCATTCGTTTGTGATAGCCAAGTTTCTTCTGAAAGAAAGAGCTACATAGCTCAGTGGGCCTCACCTGGTAAAATAAAATAAACGTTTTTATGAAAGCAGCAAGTAGCAAGCCGTGTTACACAGGCCAATGGGGAAACAGGGAATCATCACTCAGCATTGTAAACATTTTAAAAAGCGTAGACAGTGATTCGACTTCCCATCACTCCTCTACCGCTCCCAATGAGTTCAATAAAATCTTGCTTCCTGAACAGTGGGTTTTTTTAATAAACATTGGAGCACTCTTTACAGTGTGTGTGTGTGTGTGTACTGGGTTTCACTCTGTACCCCACTAACGTATGTTTTTTATGCGCGTAATATAAATGGTGATAATTTTACAACAACCTCTTACACTGGCCCGACTTGTAAACAATCTGCGTGCAGCTGTGACGGTGTCGCCATCGAATCGTGCACAAACATTCCAGTTCGCAGCAGTTTAAACAAACCTCTGCTTATTGCACTTGGCCGCTCTTACAAAACTAACGCATTTTGGCTTGGTCGCAACGTAACAGGCGGACGTGGTAGATTGTCGCCATGAAACCATCTACGGCGCTGTTGACTTGACGTGAACTTGTCATCTGAGAATCTGTTATTGAATTGTTCAATTGCAAACATTTGGTCTATTCGCAGTAAACAACTTTGGGACCCTGTGGGGAGAGTGGGATAGGAGCCCGTTCCCTTGCCTGCTGTTACAAAGATAATTGTGAGCCTGACGTTTAGTTTGTGTTGCGAAGGAAAGTCATTTGGTGTGGATCCCGACAGGTTAATGTCACACGGAGGCTTCAATGACCAATATTACGATTTTTTAAGTTTATTTTTGGATAGATTGTGTCGGTATAACATCACATTATCTTGTTCTCTCACCTTCCACCACCCAACAGAGTCAATCAAATCAATATTGTATAAAATCGTCAAAAATGGTGCGAGCTTTTCACATTACAATTTGCTGAAAAAACAAATAAATCGGTAGATTTGCCCATGACGTTACTACTTGTTTTGATTGTATTATATATGTATGGCGCAACAGTGGCGAGGTGTTAACTATCTCGCCTGGTATACAGGACCCTAATGCCTGTATATTTGGTTGTTTGTACATTTTCCCTGTGGTGGCGTGAATTCTTATCAGGGTCCTCCGGTTTTTCCCTCCACATTTGAAATCGTGCGTTTAGAGTATTTGGTGGCTGCAAATGTCCACGTATTAAGCCACTTAGTTGAGCTATCGTTTGTGGCCAGGTTGCTTCTGAAAAGCATCTATATAGCTCAGCAGACCTTACCTGGTAAAATAAAAATAGTTAATAGTTACATCTCAAATGTCAAACCGTGACTCTGCGGGGGGAATCGGTCTCTCATCCAGCTCTGTGGGACAGTGCTTACAGTGCTGAGAGCGCAAAGCCCCGGAGAGAAAACAACAACAACGTCACATGATGCAGACGAGTGCCAGCAGATGGTGGAGGGTTATACAAGCAGTCAAAGGAAAAGTACATTATACCCTATGCATTGATCTATTCCAAGAGTAACTCATGAATCCTGACAGGTTGTGTGGGCAGCTGCTAGGAATATTGCAAAATCACACCTGCTGCTACTTGCTGCATCATCAGCCGGTGTTTGTGTTTTTGCGTTGTAACCGGTGTAGGTCTGTTTGGTCGCTCCCGAACGTGACGTTTATCAGTCTTCGGCTGTACATAGTTGCACACGCAGTTTAGACGGCGGTTTACGGAGTTTTCTGTTTTCTGTAAACACGTTTATCAAACGTCGGTGCACGTCTGTGTGTAACGCGTCTGTAGCAGGTGTTTGAGCTGGATGTTGTGTCAATTGTAAACAGTTGAGTAAGCAGAGCTGCGCTACATTTGACCCTCGTGCGCGACGCAAATAGCGACGTGCTAGCGTTACGCAGCTTCCGTGCCCGTTACCCTCACAGTGTAATGGACACGCGCTTGGCAGACGCGCTGCTACTGCCGCCGCATTGTTGATTTCAAATTTAATTAAACTTTTTACAGTGTGGATTGACCAAGGGGGCAGGAGAGGGTGGTGAAAAGAATGGAGAGTGTGCAAGAGCTTCACCGACTGTGCCAGGAGTCTCCAGGTTTAGCCGCGGTTGTCGCAGTCCGCTTGAGGACACCGCTGCTATTTCTTATTTAGTTCTCCGAGCCTGTTGTTGTGAAAGTAGGATTTGGACGTGTCTAATGTTTTAGGTGAACCGTTCAAGAGAGACACGCAAACTCCAAATACACAGCAGGCGTCGGGGTTGGGATTCGAACCCACGACCTCCCGCATACCAGGCGAGGGAGTTCACATCTCACCAGCGCGGAGCCATATGTTACATGGCAGGTAGCATGCACTGATTTTTGCAGAAGGACGTAGCTTACAATGGGATCTGCCAACATCCCCGTTATCTCCTCCCCTCCCCTCGTGGCGACGTCACCGTTGCGGCGTAGTCATTGATTGGCGGCTGTCGCTGTCGTTTGCTGTGCGCTGCAGGACAGCGACTCGGACTCGGAGTTCCCGTCGATCCCGTCGGCCGTGCCGGTCACGGGGGAGTCGTACTGCGACTGCCTGGGCAGGGTGGAGCCGCCCGCGCGTTTCCCCGGGGCACGCTCCAGCAAGCGCGCCCGCGACTGCCGCTGCGGCGAGGACGACGACCGTGCGTGCACCCCCCCCCCCCCCCTCCTCCGATTCACCGCCACCACCGGCATCGCCAGACACGCACACTACACACACCACGTACGCACGCTACACACACCACACACGCTACACACACCACACACGCTACACACACCACACACACCACACAGACGCTACACACACCACACATGCACGCTACACACACCACACACGCTACACACACCACACACGCCACACACACCACACAGACGCTACACACACCACACACACCACACAGACGCTACACATACCACACACGCACGCTACACACACCACACACGCTACACACACCACACACGCCACACACACCACACAGACGCTACACACACCACACACGCACGCTACACATATCACACACGCATGCTACACCCACCACACACGCATGCTACACACACAACACACGCACGCTACACACACCACACACGCACGCTACACACACCACACACATACTACACAAACCACACGCATGCTACACAAACCACACGCATGCTACACACACCACACACACGCTTCACACCCTACAAACACCACAGCCTACACCCACCACACACATGCTACACACACCCTACAAACACCACAGCCTACACCCACCACACACATGCTACACACACCACACACCACACACGCACGCTACACACACCACACGCACCACACACACGCTACACACCCTACAAACACCACAGCCTACACCCACAACACACGCACGCTACACTCACCACACACGCACGCTACACACACCACACACGCACGCTACACACACCACACGCACCACACACACGCTACACACCTTACAAACACCACAGCCTACACCCACCACACACATGCTACACACACCACACCTGACACACACTACACCCTACACAGACCACACACATGCTACACACACCACACACGTGCTACACACACCACACACATGCTACATACACTTCACACATCACATATCATACATCACACACATTTTCACCACACGCACACATGCTCTCCACTTACACACTACATACACCACACGCTACACACGCATGCTACACACGCTATACACATCATACACACTACATAAACTCTTACCACACACTCACCACACACCCTCACCACACACTCTCACCACACACACATGCTAACCACACACACTGGATGAATCCATGTTTAACACAAACCCCAGGTCCCAGTGTCCACTGGGTGTGTATTACACAGGATCTGGGTTCCTAGAAATCCTCTACATTTTGGTGCAGGACGTGTGTGGGTCCAGAGTTATACGAGATACTTGTTGTGTAAGACACTGAGCTATTTATGGAGCTGAGTACATGAAGGGCGCATTACACACACACACATTGTTTGGGTTATACACGTCTATGATGTGTCACTCCCCGGTGTCAAGCGGTTAGCGCGCCACGCTTTGAACCCGGCAGCCCGAGTTCGATTCCCACTCACGATTACCTGAACACGTCTTGGGCCTCCCCTCGGTCGACACGGCCTCCAATGAGTACCTGGTGCGGTGTGTAAACATCGCCGCTGGGGAGACAAAGGCGGCCGGGCGTGGGGCTGGCCACCCACTCCTTCGTGTGCTGTTGCTGGCCTTCATAGGTGCTCCTCGCTTACAGCACTTGCCCCGACAGTCTGTTAAGGGCTATACGGAGTGATATTTGTCTTTGCAGTGTTTGACTGGGTGTGGGATGACGTGCACAAGTCGGCGGCCGTGGCGCTGGGCTGCGAGAAGCGCGAGGTGAACTTCCACATGGACTACAGCTGTGGCACGGCAGCCGTGCGTGGCTCGCGGGAGCTCTGCGAGGGGCAGCACTTCTGGGAGATCAAGATGACGTCTCCCGTCTACGGCACGGACATGGTACGCGGCACAGACGGTGTGCATGGCACGGACGGTGTGCATGGCACGGACGGTGTGCATGGCACGGACGGTGTGCATGGCACGGACGGTGTGCATGGCACGGACGGTGTGCATGGCACGGACGGTGTGCATGGCACGGACATGGTACGCGGCACAGACGGGGTACATGGCACGGACATGGTTTGCGGCACAGACAGATTACATGGCATGGACTGGGTACATGGCACCAATGGTTTCGAGCCCACATAGCACACAGCTCTGGTACCTAATGGCAGTGGCACCGGAGCAGCGCATACCCAGCTGGCGTGTATCGGGCACGCCGGAGCGGGGGGGGGCGGGGGCGCTGCCGAGCTGACGTGCGCGTGCCACTGTCGCGGCAGATGGTGGGCGTGGGGACGGAGCAGGTGAACCTGGACCGCTACCGCCACATGTTCTGCAGCCTCCTGGGCAAGGACGACGAGAGCTGGGGATTGTCCTACACCGGTGAGTCGCACTGGCGGCGCTCAACTGCACGACTGGATGGGCGGGCGATGCTGCCGGGGTGTGCCGCGAGTGGTCTGTTCGTTATGAATGTCAGATACTCCACACCCCACGCTGTTTACCAAAGAACCACCGCTAACACCGCCCGCCCCCCACAGCCTCATTCATAAAGAAGGCAAACAACACAACTGCATCCACGTGTTCATTAGTGACGCGTGTAGCATAGACTCACTAGATACATAATTGGGCATCAAACCCTTTTGGGGGGGGATGCCATATAAAGTGTAAGCAAGATAATTTCATTATTTAAAACGACGATTGCTGGTTTAACTTGACACATTGAAAGGGCCTTGACTGGATGACTGGAAACTGCTGTACAGACTATTTAAACAAAGTTTTTTTTATTTTACCAGGTAAAGGCCCACTGGGATATATCGCTCTTTTTTCAGAAGCGACCTGGCCACGAATGATAGCTCAATGAAGTGCCTTATCATCACATGGAAATTCATAAGAGCCAAATACTCTATAAACGCATAGTTGATTCTAAATGTGAAGGAAAAAACCGGAGGACCCCGAGAAAAATCGACGCGACCACGGGGAGAAGAGACGCGCAAACTCCAAATATACCGGCATTGTCAGTGGCGGGGTTGAACTCACAACCTCCTGTATATCAGGCGAGGTAGTGGCGTTCATTAGCAAAATTAACCGTGGACTCTGTGCGTGTGGGGGAGGCGAGGTTGAGGGGTGGGGCAGACATTAATACGCTGCTAAATTGAACACTTTAATAATGTACATGGTTACGTCATGAGGTGAAATGTTAATTTGAAACGCCCGGCGATGAGAGTGGTTCTGCTCCACAATTACCCAGATCCCACCGTGGACAATATCTTAGCTGTGCTCATCACCCGATAATCACAAGAAATATACGATTTACTTTATGAAGACTAAGTATTGGATCATGATCTGTATGCATTGGCTGCTGCTGTCTCTGAATTAACCATAGCTGCTGACATGGTTTGCCCCTTATTGTTGTTTTTGAAAGTACTGTTGAATGTTTCAAAGTCATCGTTACTGCCCGTACCGACTGCTTCATCTCAATTTCGATTTAAAGCTTTCATGACTGCAGGGATTCATCTTCTTGGTTCTTTCGGTAAAGTCACGTAGAATGGAAATAAAATATTTTATTATGGTTTATTTTTATTATTTTATTTCCATTCTACGTGACTTTACCGAAAGAACCAAGAAGATGCTTCATCTCAACCACACTGAGTTCAATCACCACACTGCAGGTCACAACAACACACCCACTGGCCCACCTACTCACCACACTGCAGGTCACAACAATAACACACCCACTGACTCACCCACTCACCACACTGCAGATCACAACAATAACACACCCACTGACTCACCCACTCACCACACTGCAGATCACAACAACAACACACCCACTGGCCCACCCACTCACCGCACTACAGGTCACAACAATAACACACCCACTAGCCACACTGCAGGTTACAACAATAACACACCCACTAGCCACATTACAGGTTACATTAACAACTCTTTCTGCTACTTCCCGCACTTTGCTCCACTTAGGAATCTCTCCAAACGCCTCTTTCCCCAAGCTCTTGGAATAACCTTGCTCAATTCCGCTTGACGTGTTGGGCCTTCGGACCTGTGCTCAACAACTGTGTTTAAAATAAAAACCTGAAAAAATTAATCCATCGAAAGATTAGGGGATCCGATATAACTTCCTTGACAATCCAATTATAGCAACATGCAAGTTGTGGCGCATTGATCCCTAGAACTGGGCGCCACGATGGCAAGATGTTAACTTCCTCACCTGGTATACAGGAGGTCGTCGGTTTTATCCCGACCCTGACACCTGTTGTATATCTTGTAGTTTGCGTGTCTCTATCTCCCCGTGGACGTGTGCATTTTTCTCCAGGTCCTCCGGTTTTTCCCGAATGCTACAAATTTCCGCGTGATAAGCCACTTCGTTGAGGTATCACTTGTGGCCAGGTCGCTTCTGAAAAAGGGCTACATAGCTCAGTGGGCCTTATCTGGTAAAATAAAAAATATCGGTTTTTAGTCATTAAAGTTTTAGTTTACAATTGCCTGCTCGGTCACTGGCAACCGGTGTGGCGCGTGTCCCCCCCCCCCCCCCCCCCCCCCCCCAAGGCCTACTGTACCACAAGGGAGACAAGATGCACTTCTCCACGCGGTTTGGCCAGGGCTCCATCCTGGGCGTGCACCTGGACACGTGGCACGGCACGCTCACCTTCTACAAGAACAGGAAGTGCCTGGGTGAGTGCGGCCCCCCCCCCCCCCCGCGGCGTCCTGTCCCCGCGTCGTCCAGCAATTCTGGCGATGATGGCGCTGGCTCGCGTGCGTGTACGTTGAACTTCTTTCGCACCGTACGTGGCCAACCGCACTCATCGGAGGTGCAGGGTGAAGAGCAACAAACTCAACACAAAAAGCAGTTCTAAAGAAATTGGTTTTTTATCTAGATTTAAAAGTGCATTGCTCCAGTGGCTTCCTAATATCGGAAAGAACAGCGTTCCAGACGGCAGCAGAAGCGCATCTTAAAGCACGCGATGTGGTAACAGTCTTTGTTCTATGGCCAACCAAAAGCTGCTGCGAGGATGATCTGAGTTTGCTTGACGGTTCATGCTCCTTGACGAGATCAGCAAGGTATTGTGGTTTATTTGTGGCGAGCACTTTGTGTGCAATGAGTGCGACCTCAACGTTGCCGCGTATGGTGGCATTTGCCGCTATACGGAGGGGTCACTTTGTGTACGCTTTGAGCGCTGTGCATGCTGCGTGCCGATTGATCACTTGCGATGGGTTTTGTGAACCCATTGGTAGATGACGCAAGGGTGGTGCTGCTAAATCGTATTTCCGGTGCTTCTGTTTGAAAAAATCTGCTTCCACTAATCAGTATGGGCTATTGGTGGGGGAAGTCCATGGGGCACCGTAATGGGTACAACATAACCACGTACGGGAGCAAGGAGAGAGATAGGTTAGGCATAGGGTTAAAGATAGAGATTGGCTGCAGTGCTCTTATCCAGAGCAGCAGTGTCACACTGCAGCGCCACTGGTGCCACTTCTGTCGACACCGCTGGAGCAAAGCGGGGACGTGTGCTCCGATCGGCACTAGTCCCTAGTCTGGTGGCTTGCCGGCTACTGACTCGGCTTATGGTGGACTACGCTTGTTTGTATGTACGGTGAACTTCTTTTGCACACCGCACGTAGCCGACCGTGCTAACTGGAGGTCTCTGCTCGTTGTCGTGGTCCGTGCCTCTTCCCTGTGCCCGCCCTCGCCGCGTCCCCGCCGCTCTCCGTGTGTCCGTGACCGCGCTGGGCTAGGCGTGGCGGCACGGGGGCTGCAGAACAAGCGCCTCTTCCCCATGGTGTGCTCCACGGCCGCCCGCAGCAGCATGAAGGTAGAGCGAGCGCCCCCACTGCATGTGTGCGAGATCTTGTTTTGACCCCCGTAGGCTTTGGATATCCCGCGGTTCAGAATATGTAGAATACGATAGAGCAGCGGTTTTCGGAGTGCGATCCCCAATACCACCAGTGGGGTGATCCGGGATGGGTCCCCACAGGTGGTCCGCGGGGCTGTGATGCAAACGCCTAAAAAGTTTGAGAGACACTGACACAAGTTGATGGAATCCCGGAGTACAAATTATATTGTAGCAATATGAATCTACCTGTATAAATTATTTACCATTTGGATCTCAGTGTACAGATATCATGAGAGTCATGTGACCCCCCCCACCAACGTTTCTCACAACTTTGTTTCCAGTTGGCACAATGACCGGTATGAAACGATAAGAAAGGCAATCGCTCAAGCCACGTTCCTTGCGTTGGACAATCAGTTTGTCAGTGAAGTTATTCACTTCATGGTTCAGCTCTTCAACCATTCCACTGGTAATTTGGTTAATTCCATTTGGAGGAATTGCTGAATACATTTAGCTCAATATTCATAAAACTATTCACGTGATACAATGCATTATTGCTTGTGTGCCACAGTGTACGAGTTATTGTATTCATCCACAGAACAAAAATCTTCACTGCTTGTCGGCGTTGGCCACTGTTAGAAAAAAATGCTTGCTATGCACTAACATATCCAGCTGTTAATAGCGAGTGACAGTGTGGAGTTGATTAAATCATACTTGTTTCAAAAGTACATGAAGTTCTCCTTAGGACTACAGTGGTGGCGTGAGAGGTCAATGATTGTGTAATTAACAATGCTTTGGGCTGTAGCCAATGCTATTGCATTGGCTCATGTGAATACATGGTGGTCTGTGGATGTACCAAGCTCATAGTTTAAGCCTTGCCCTCTGATTGGCTGACCGGAGTTCCCACGCGTTCCTCCCCATGCATACCTACGAGGAATGCAGCACTAGGCATTGTACTTCAGCACCCTGGGAAGGCGGCGTGGTATTGTACAACACACATTTTCCTGTTGTGATGGGGTTTCTCATCATTTTACAGAAGTTTTTGGTTTTGAAACACGTGTGTGTGTTGTACGTGGGTAACTGTAGTGTTTTCTTTGTTGTACGTTCCAAGGTGTTGTCACATTTAATATTTCTAAAACAATCTCTGTAACCATATACAGTAATTTGCTGAATGAAAACACAAAGCACCAATGCACCACAGACGCTGTCCAAGCGTTAGGCGCCAAGATGGCGAGATGTTAACTACCTCACCTCGTGGGTCGTGTGTTTTTTTTCTTCGGGTCCTCCGGTTTTTCCCTCCGCATTTAGAATTGACATTCGTCCAGAGTATTTGGCTGCTATAAATTTCCACGTGATAAGCGACTTTTTATTTAGTTTTTAGTTGACCTACGACTGACAAGCGATTGCGGTCTTTCCCCTCTTACCGGCGCCGCTCTCTCTCCCACCCTCTCTGCATCACCTCCACTACCCCCCTCCCCACTCTCTTTGTGCGTCACCAGCGCCACTTAACCCCCCCTCTCCCTGCGCGCGACGCCCAGGTCATCCGCTGCCGCTCGGCGCCGACGTCGCTGCAGTTCCTGTGCTGCCTGCGGCTGCGTCAGCTGATCCCCGCGCACAGCGACGCGCTGCAGGTGCTGCCCCTGCCGCCGGGCCTGCGCCTCTTCCTGCGCAACAACCTGGGCTGGATCCTGTCGCTATGCACGCATGGAGCGCGCGGGGCGGACGACGGGAGCGGCGGCGGCGGCGACGACGGCGGCGGCGGCGGCGACGACGACGACGGCGGCGGTGTTGGGGACGCTGCGGGCGTGGCGCTGGGGGACCAGACCCGTGCAGTGCAACGCAAGAAGTGTCGGCTCAACTAAAACTTTTTTTTTCGTTCCCGCCCCGCACCCAGCACCCACCGACGAACGCGGTGGCGACGCGAGGGCCGAAGAAGGCGTCCCCTTCTCTTCTGTTTAAAAAAAACAACAACATCTCTGAAGCATTGGTTTGCAGCATGCGGACCAGACTGCGAGTGGAAGAGGGGGGGGTGCCCGTGAACTTTGCTAAATGAACACGCCGTTTACAATGACGTTTTGCTCATGGATGTTTTTAACGTATATTTTCTATTTTTTCATCTACTTACGGGGTATTTGGTCTTTCAATTTGTGTTTTTTCTCAAACTCCATCTCGCAGCCCCATTTCCCCCCCCCCCCCCCCCCGTGATTAACCAACAGGAATGTTAAAATGTAAATAGTGTAATCTTTATGTCGTTGACATTTCTGTCGAATGGTAGAAAATGGAACTCGCGTTTGGGGGGGCCCAAAAGAATGGGTGCCAGAGGGGGGGAACCCCTTGTCCACAGAGTCGCTGCCTTCCTGTTATCACGTTGTACTCTAAACGCATTGCAAAAAATAGACCCCTGCTAGGGTGCACGCGTCAGTGCCATATACGTTGACAATCTAGGTCATACGCAGCATCGTTGGAGACCTTGGGGGCAGTTGCCATCCCCATTAAGGGGCCTTGAACGACCGAATTCAAATACCGTGTCGTTGGAAGCGCATTGGCTTGCTGCCAGTTGATTCTTGGTTTATAATGTCTGCGTTTTACAGAATTTAAGTCTTTTTTTTCTTCAACTTTTTGGTCTCAGAACTGAATACGACGTGTTTAAGCGAGCACCTTTACAGGATTCCTGTCGCAGCATTCTCAGATTAATTAATTTCCTCGTTCAAAATTTCCCAAACTTAAATTCCGCACAAGCCACTTTTGTGGTTCTTTTAACGTTCATCAATCTCCTTCATTCAATGCAAGTTGAGTCGTTAAATGCTGGATGTGCTCGATGATTGGCAGCAAATTAATCCGATAATATGCACCGATTCGAATTAAGATAGACCTTTGAATTTGTACTCCTGTCACCTTGCAGCACACGGCATGCACTCGAGATATCCATCTTAATTTAATTTCGCTCGCATCGCTAGGGATGCGGTCTACCAATCGTCGGGTGCACGAAGCGTGTAAATGCAATTTGCATTTGAATTGAGGGATTGGTTAACGAGGAAACGTGTGTGTACTATAGTTGTGATGAGGAAAGGAGTTTGGAAAATCCTGCCCTCTCGTGCATTTTAATTGAAATAAATGTTAATTTATATGTAAGTCTTTCCTTGAGTCGCAAGACGTTTTCAGAAGCACCCCACATTATGTTTGGACAAATATCCTGCAAAGCAGTTTGTTCCTCACTCATTTTCAGAAGGGGGGGGGGGCACTTTCGCCAATAAGACATCATCAGTGCGAGGGCCGCCATCACCGCCTGCAAGGGGTTGTTGTCACATTTGTTGCGTATTGTCGGGAGGCCGCACGTCAGGGGCCCGCCAGTGGCCCAGCGGTGGGGCCTCGCAACGAAGAATACCGCTGTAAAAACGGATGTTTCGTACGTGGGGGTAAGCTGGAGAACCTGGGAAAAACCCACACGCGCTATGAGGGTAAGTTGAAGATCGCGGAGAAAATCTGACGCACAACGAGGGGACGCCAATCGAAGTTCTTCACAAAAACGTTCGCGAGCCCACTGGGGGTGCCATCTCCTGGGCCTCCTCACTCCATAAAATGCCAGGAGTCTTGCGACACACACCGATCCCTGCGTTGAACCAACCAACCCCTGCGCGTGGTTTGCAGACTCCCTGCAGCGGCGCGCGCGTTGTGGAAGGCGAATGGGGAAGTTGTGCGGTGTGTAAATTGGGCATAGATCTCGCTCGGAGAGAGGTGTTTTCAGAGAAGCGAATATAGATTTCAGTGAGGGGACCTCTGGATCGGGCACATACATGTAACTTGTTTCACAACGTACGGAGTCAATCGTGCCAATCGGATGAGCCTTACTCCTGAGCACTTGCCACCCAGCTGACGAGCAAAACCACGCTTAAAGCTAAGCCTGTGTAGCTGATGGTAGGCCGTTGCTTTAACACACGGGTGAGTATAGATCGTCAGGTTCCTTGTTTTGAGATGCTTATTTAAATTACTTCACGCCTGGTACACTCGGCGTCAATACATCCATCGTACTGGCCTTCCTTCCATAATGTTCTTATTGGCATTTATTATTTGAAAGGCTGATTTCATGTGCCCACTGAAATGTTGTTTTTTATTTCGTACTATAAGGAAACAGTTGCAAGGTTTGATGGTATGAATAGTCCTGACTATGATGACCTCTGGACTTTGACTTTTCAAAGTCTGTAGGCTGTACCTTTGTCGTACATTTTCACTTCATACTGCTGCACTGTTGTGTTTTATAAAATCCATTCACTGATTCAAATACTTGGGGGTTTCATATCACAACAGATGCGAAGTTGTGAAAATGGAAACTATAACACCAGCTCGATTTCATATTTGTGATGGGTTGAGTTGGTCTTGGAAGTGCAAAACCCAAACCTTTAGCTCGGTGAATCTCTCTTCCGGGTTATCCTGTAGCTCTTGCTTAAATCTCTTGATCTTTCGCACACCAAGTGAAGTGTCGGGTAAATAGATATCAAGTGAACAGATATATGTATGCAAGTATGTTGAACTTCTTTTGCACCATACGTAGCCAACCGTGCTAATCAGAGGTGCGGGGAAAGGACAACAAACTAAACGCACAAAGCAGTTCAAAAGAAATTCGTTTTTATAATTAAAAGAGCATAGCTCCAGTGGCTTCCTAGTATCGGAAGGTAGAAGGTTCCAGATGGCCGCAGAAGCGCATCTGAAAGCGCACGATGCAGTGACCGTCTTTGTGTGATGGTTATCCAAAAGCCACCGCAAGGATGACTGGAATTTGCGTGATGGTTTATGCCCCTTGACGAGGCCATGTGAAGTATTCCTTTAAGGCCGAGTCAACCTAGGGGAGACCCAAGACATGATAACAACTTATGTCGGCCGTGACCGGGAATCGACCTCAAGTTCCAGATGTTAGACCTGTGTATTTCTATCGGCCTTCCAGCACAATGTATTCAACACTTCTCTCGTTTCGCCATTATCTTTTTTTTGTGTTCCTGGAGTGTGGTCGTTGGGTGGCAATCTTGTTTTGGACAAACCTTCGAAAATGCTCTTCGGAGCGCTGAGAGCTTCGTCGTGGTCTTCTAGGACGTGCTGTGCACGCTCGTTTCTCCTTCACAGAGTTGCACTGTTTCGCAGGTTTCCCTTCGTGCCCTCAACGGCACGGAGAAGCGCAAAGCGGTGCCCCGACTCCTCCTGCGGCGCACACAGGCGCAGAGTACGAGCCGTAGACCCCTCGTCAACGTAATCGAGGCAGATGCTTCACGCAGCGGTACAATTTCGTTCACGGTGACAAATCCAGTGCCTTGGGTTCTTACACTGGGGGGGAGTTATCAAAATGACCCACGTGGGTGTTAAAAGTACCGGGAGGTTACAGTAAAATACGCGTGCATGGCAAAGTATAGGTTGTCATTTTGAAGGACAACGTTCGCTTAAAAGGGCTTCTTGTTTGCACACATACCAGGATGGTGCTGCAGCATCCATCTGTTGTTGTTGGTAGCTTTTGAGTGTTTTGCGTGACGTGTGATTCGTAACAACCTTCCACTGCATAGGCCAGGGCTTCTAAAAACTCCAGGTCCTCGCTCAACCAAAGCGCACCTTTTCACGTTGACCAGTATTTCCTTTCAATGACAAACGGTCGTTTCTGGTTGCACGCACCTGAGATGTTAACTACCTCGCCTGGTTATACGGGACGGGGTGGATTCGATCCCAGCCATGACGCCTGCTGTATATTTGGAGTTTGCATGTCTCTCTCCCCGTGGTCGCGTGGATTTTTCTTTGGGTCCTCCGGTTTTCCCCTCCAGATTTATAAACGTGCGTTTAGAGTATTTGGCTGGTGTAAATTTCCACTTGATAAGCCACTTCGTTGAGCTATAATTTGTGATAGCCAGGTCGTTTCTGAAAAAGAGCTGTATAGCTCTGTGCACCTTACCTGGTAAAATAAGTTTCGATTGGTGAATATAAACAGGTGTCCACCGTGGTTGGTAGGTGAGGGCTGGAGTTTAAAAAGCCCTGAGCTCGTCCCGAGTTTTGGATTTTCTCCATCGGTAGAAGTCCAGTCTCTTTCAGTGATGCAAGAGGTCTGTTATTAAAGTTGTGTCATGCCGGGCAGTGGAACAATGTGAACCCGCTTGATCTTTACTGCCCTGGGATGGCATTGTCACCAGGCGAGATCGAGGGTGTCCGCTCGGATGAGTTCCACCAAATCCCAGATCACGATTGGATTGTACGTACGTTGAACTTCTTCCGCGCCGTACGTAGTCAACCGTGCTGACCGGAGTTGCGGGGGAAAGGACAACAAACGAAACGCAAAAAGCAAATCGGAAGGTACCGATTTTCGATCTAGAATTTATAGAACCAGAATCATTTCGTGTGTGTTGGACTTTGCACTCCTCTGGACCTCTCCCTCCAAAGCACCTTAAATTCCTAAGGTCATTACAACAGCACTTAACCCACTTTTCGTGGTTCAAGGTCTCTATATTTGAATTTTGAAGCATGCGAACACCTCCCCTGATGACGCTCTCTTCGCTTTAAACCCAGAAAAAAAAGTATACATGCAGACAAGTAAATAATGTCCAAGAAGCGATGTTAATGTGAAATGTATTATTCGTGCCTCATGAGAAATATCTTTACACATTGGACGCCCCATTATGGCTTAAATTTGCACAACAGCCTGATAATCCCCCCAGTCTTAGCAAGCTGATGGTTAGGTCAGGAGACGCGCAGCACCTATACCCGTTCGATGTATGCTGCTCTCATTTTCAACAATATATATCAGACGATACCGTTTAATTCATAGTGCGTCAAAATGCGACCGCATCTCCCGAGGCTTCACGGGAGAAAGACGAAGAAGAGAAATAAAGGAGGCTTTGTGCATATGAACACACGTGGGTCTTTTGAAGTCTTGACTTGAACCAGTGGGGCAGAGTGTGTTCAAGAAAATTCCATGCAGGGGCAGAAGTCAAGAGGGAGGCGACCTCTCATGGAATGGAGGTCGACTGTGGGCTTTGTGAGAGGGCCTTCGTTGCTGGAGAGGCGACAACTGTGCCGGAGAATGGAGAGAGATGAGAGGTTAGAAGGCAGGGACAAGACCGTGACGAATATAAAAAAAAACGCCACCGCAAACTTAAAGTTAATGTGAGATGTGAGAGAAAGCCACTTGGAGGGATTGTAGTACTGGAGGGATGTGATCACGTTTTTGTCTGTGTGAGGAGCCTTGCAGCGGTATTCTGGGGCACCGCGGTGGCGAGATGTTAACTACCTCGCCTGGTACGCAGGAGGACGTAGGTTCGATCCCAACCCTGACGCCTGCTGCTGTATATTTGAAGTTTGCTGCATGACTCTCTCCTCGTGGTCGCGTGGATTTTTCTCCGGGTCCTCCGGTTTTCCCCTCCACATTTAGAAACATGCTGCTGTAAAATGTGCACGTCATAAGCCACTTCGTTGAGCTATCATGTGGCCATGTCGCTTCTGAAAAAGATCTACATATTTTAGTGGGTTTTACTCCAAATATACAGTAGACGTCAGGGTCGGGATCGAACCCACGAGCCTCCTGCATACCAGGCGAGGTAGTTTGCAAATGTTGTGGCTTTGCTCTCCAACACACCGGTGTGCTATACTAGTAACGAATTGGCATGTTCTGTTTATGTGACAAACCTTACAAATTGGCTGTGTCGGGTGGTGGCGGGTTTAACGACACATTTATATATTTACGAGATTTACCCCAACAACAACCTGTGTTATGGTTATGTATGATGAACTTTCGAGGGCCCTATAGGTCGGCATACAAAGCTTGAACTCGACACGCTGCAGACCCCGCATCCCCAACATCGTGCTTCTGACTGCCGCACATCAACCTTGTAGCGGTGTTGATTGAAGACTGAGTGTCGGTGTCGAGGCGGCCCGGCCAGCAAGACCGTTGCAGCATTATCAGTCAGCTCTGGAAACTACAACGCTGTTTAACCACGGCCTTGACGGGGTTTCAAATTGCAGCGCTTTCACGCAGCTGTTGATTCGCTTGCAGCTGGCAGAAGCATTCTGCTGACTTGCTGGCTTACATTTGGGGCTGATTGAGAGCTTTGAGTTCAGTGTCACGCCAAGGTCACGACTGCCGTGTTCAGGCTGTGTGCAGAGTGCTTTAGAAGGATTGTGTCGTCTTGTCATGATGTCCTCAACATATGCTGGAGTCTCTCTTTAGCTGCCTGATACTTCGTTGCCACATTTCTTTACAGTGCCGGGAATCGGCTTGTTTAAAAACTTTTAAACTATAAACTTAACTTTTAAGTTAAACTTAGTTTTACCAGGTAAGTCCCACTGAGCTATGTAGCTCTTTTTCAGAAGCGACCTGGCCATCACAATGCTTGCTCAACGAAGTGGCTTACGTGGAAATTTATTAAATCGGAAGACCCAGAGAAAAATCCACGCGACCACGGGGACAACACGCAAACTCCAAATATCCAGCAGCAGCAGGCGTCAGGGTCGGGATCGAACCCACGACCTCCTGCATACCAGGCGAGGTAGTTAACATCTCCAAGACACCGTGAACACACTGGGCTTCGGCCAACAGGGGTCAAGGAGGACTGAACGTGACATCGTGCGCGTGCAGGCCGTAGACGCGTATGGGGGGCTCTTGTGATTGGCAAACATGGGAAGCTTTTTCTAACTCCATAACATTGGCCAAGCCAATGTTATGGAGTTCCCATCGCGCTATCACGCGAACCACTGCGTGGTCATCATTAGTCATTGTGGCTCTCCTATCTTCACGCCTGACCTTGCTTCTGGTTGTTGTCATTGCCGCTATATACAGCGCATTCGCGAGGAGACCTGTACACGTTCACAAGTGATTGCATCTACGTCTCGTTTACCCCAAATGTGACATTCTACTTTGGAAAAGTTTTTTTTAAGCCATTGTTCTTTAAAAAATAAAACTTCTAAATATGTCAATTGTGCATGTTGGTGTTGTCGTCTCAGTTAATTCTTATTCTAATAATTTTTTTTTCAGTGTGGGTGATAGATTCAAAATTACTAACAAAAAACAGCTTGTTGTGAAAGACCCAACGGAGAAGACCCCTTGGCTTTGATCTTCCACGAAGCTCACGGTCCACCCTAAAGCGCATCCACTACACAAACCATGGCAGTAGATGCGGCTATCTGATGCACACATGGAAAATTAAAAAAAAAACTCTTCATGAGTAGTGTGTGACTGTGGTCATCCAGAACGGACCGCACAACAACGTCTCAGGACGCAACACCCAATCCACACATACGAAGGAGACATCACGGCGATGCTACATTACTCCGCTACTGCCCCTTGTCCCGGTTGTCTGGGCTTGACCACCTTGAATGTGAAATTGTCGTCGTTGCTCTGCATCTAACATCAGCAACGCGACGAAAGTGGAAGAATCTGCTGCTGATGTGGCTGCATTACCGCCGTTGCTCCACTACGAGGGGGCTAGAGGGGCCCATGACCCCCACACCACCCCCAGCGGGCTCTGCACCTTGGGGATTCTCCTCTGATTCGGCCAACGTGAAGGTCACTGCACTTGACCTCCTGAACCTTGGCTTGGCAGCTCCCACGTGAGGGTTCCACGATTCACAGCCACGGACGCCCAGGGGCCCATCGTCCATTCACTGTGCAGCTCTGGAATAGAGAGAGGGCACTGCCCATTAATTGTAGAGCTCGGAAGCTCGGAGGGCATTGTATAGGGTGGTCCAGATGTCTTGTGAGCCCCCCCCCCCCCATTTAATTATCTAAGACGTAATATTGTTTCAGGTTAGATTTATTTAAAGCAGAAATGAACATGCACATAATTAAAAATGTCAGGGGTGAATTCATTGGGGGGAGGGGGAGTCACAAGAAATGTGGAACACCCTGTACACCCAATGCCATCGATGAGTGAACGCGCTTCTTAGATTTTGAGCAGTGGAGTTGTCAGAGCTGAGAGGGGAGGAGACACAAACTCGACGCTGGGGGCGGTGTTTGTGAGCCGTCTGCCCATCAGACATGTTGCGTTGCATCCCATCGTGACGACGACAGCTCACCACGACGGCTCACCACGACGACTCACCACGACGACGACTCACCACGACGACAGCTCACCACGACGACTCACCACGACGGCTCACCACGACGACTCACCACGACGACAGCTCACCACGACCCGGGAGTTTCGGCGTGGCGAGGCGGCTCCGTGCAGAGGGTTTACCTCCAGACTCTGGCAGCAACCGCTGCGGGTCCCACGCGCTGGAGACGACCGTCGGTAAAGTCGCTCGGACACCCCCCCCCCCCCTCGATTAACCACGGTGTTGGGGTAGTGGGGGCCTACCCCGTGGTGTTGGGGTCGACCCCGTGGTGTTGGGGTCAACCCCGTGGTGTTGGGGCAGTGGGGGCCGGCCCTGTGGTGTTGGGGCCGATCCCGCGGTGTTGGGGCCGATCCCACGGTGTTGGGGCAGTGGGGGCCGGGCCTGTGGTGTTGGGGCCGAACCCGTGGTGTTGGGGTCGGCCCCGTGGTGTTGGGGCAGTGGGGGCCGGCCCCGTGGTGTGGGGTCGGCCCCGCGGTGTTGGGGTCAACCCCGCGGTGTTGGGGTCAACCCCGCGGTGTTGGGGTCAACCCCGCGATGTTGGGGTCAACCCCGCGGTGTTGGGGTCAACCCCGCGATGTTGGGGTCAACCCCGCGGTGTTGGGGTCAACCCCGCGGTGTTGGGGTCAACCCCGCGGTGTTGGGGTCAACCCCGCGGGGCGGCCCGTGGTCAAGCTGTGTGCAGTCTACGGCGCAGCAGCTGTGGCCAGGGCCCAGGACTGTAGCCCTCACATAGACTGTAGCTCTCACATAGACTGTAGCTGTCACATAGACTGTAGCTGTCTCATAGACTGTAGCTCTCACATAGACTGTAGCTCTCACATAGACTGTAGCTGTCTCATAGACTGTAGCTCTCACATAGACTGTAGCTCTCACATAGACATGTAGCTGCCTCATAGACTGTAGCTCTCACATAGACTGTAGCTCTCACATAGACTGTAGCTGTCTCATAGACTGTAGCTCTCACATAGACTGTAGCACTCACATAGACTGTAGCTCTCACATAGACTGTAGCTGTCTCATAGACTGTAGCTCTCAGACTGTAGCTCTCACATAGACTGTAGCTCTCACATAGACTGTAGCCCTCACATAGACTGTAGCTGTCTCATAGACTGTAGCTCTCACATAGACTGTAGCACTCACATAGACTGTAGCTCTCACATAGACTGTAGCTGTCTCATAGACTGTAGCTCTCAGACTGTAGCTCTCACATAGACTGTAGCTCTCACATAGACTGTAGCTCTCACATAGACTGTAGCTGTCTCATAGACTGTAGCCCTCACATAGACTGTAGCTCTCACATAGACTGTAGCTCTCACATAGACTGTAGCCCTCACATAGACTGTAGCTGTCTCATAGACTGTAGCCCTCACATAGACTGTAGCTCTCACATAGACTGTAGCTCTCACATAGACTGTAGCTCTCAGACTGTAGCTCTCAGACTGTAGCTCTCACATAGACTGTAGCTCTCACATAGACTGTAGCTCTCACATAGACTGTAGCTGCCTCATAGACTGTAGCTCTCACATAGACTGTAGCCCTCACATAGACTGTAGCTCTCACATAGACTGTAGATGCCTCATAGACTGTAGCTCTCACATAGACTGTAGCTCTCACATAGACTGTAGCTCTCACATAGACTGTAGATGCCTCATAGACTGTAGCTCTCACATAGACTGTAGCTCTCACATAGACTGTAGCTCTCACATAGACTGTAGCTGTCTCATAGACTGTAGCTCTCACATAGACTGTAGCTGTCTCATAGACTGTAGCTCTCACATAGACTGTAGCCCTCACATAGACTGTAGCTCTCACATAGATTGTAGCTCTCACATAGACTGTAGCTGTCTCATAGACTGTAGCTCTCACATAGACTGTAGCTGTCTCATAGACTGTAGCTCTCACATAGACTGTAGCCCTCACATAGACTGTAGCTCTCACATAGACTGTAGCTGTCTCATAGACTGTAGCTCTCAGACTGTAGCACTCACATAGACTGTAGCTCTCACATAGACTGTAGCTCTCACATAGACTGTAGCCCTCACATAGACTGTAGCTCTCACATAGACTGTAGCTCTCACATAGACTGTAGCCCTCACATAGACTGTAGCTCTCACATAGACTGTAGCTCTCACATAGACTGTAGCTCTCAGACTAGCTCTCACATAGACTGTAGCTCTCACATAGACTGTAGCGCTCACATAGACTGTAGCTCTCACATAGATTGTAGCTCTCACATAGACTGTAGCTCTCACATAGACTGTAGCTGTCACATAGACTGTAGCTGTCTCATAGACTGTAGCTCTCACATAGACTGTAGCTCTCAGACTGTAGCTCTCAGACTGTAGCTCTCACATAGACTGTAGCTCTCACATAGACTGTAGCTGCCTCATAGACTGTAGCTCTCACATAGACTGTAGCTCTCACATAGACTGTAGCTCTCACATAGACTGTAGCTCTCACATAGACTGTAGCTCTCAGACTGTAGCTCTCACATAGACTGTAGCTCTCAGACTGTATCCCACAGTGGCCCACGTCTATAGACTTGTGGCACTGTGAATGTTTCACACTAAATTGTACCACATCACAGTAACTACTAGGGTCTTTAATATGTTCATTAGAGCAACGTAGAGATTGTAGCAACCCCCCCCCCCCCCCCCCCCCCATTAATTGACCCCTAACGTGTTTTTGCCTTTGCATATTAACCTCACAAAAAAATAAAGTTTTAGATAATGAAATGGGGGGGGGGGGGGGGGGGGGGTCACAATACACCTGGACCACCCTGTACAATCAACTCAACTGTGTCTGGTTGTGAATTCGTGCCGTGTGCTGTCGTGCACTGTGACCACGACTCTCTCGTCTCGTGTCTCTCCTACTCCCACCCCTCCTCTCACGATTATTCGCATCGGTTTGCAGACAACTGTGGAGGAGGGAAATTAAAAATCCTCCCGTCCGCGTGTTTATCAACGCCTGGCACCACGCACGTCAGAGCGCGCGCGTCCGTCGGTGGCCGCGTTTCGTATTTTATTTCTCTTAAATATTTGTAAATAAATCGAATTTCCTCCCGCGACGTGGCTCGTTCAGAGCACTTTTGCCCCCCCCACCACCCCCAGCACCACCACCCCCCTAGCACCACCACCACCACCACCACCCCAGCACCACCACCACCACCACCCCCCCCAGCACCACCCCCAGCACCAGCACCACCACCACCCCCACCACCCCCCCAGCACCACCCCCAGCACCACCCCCCCACCACCACCACCCCCCCAGCACCACCCCCAGCACCAGCACCACCACCACCACCCCCCCAGCACCACCACCCCCAGCACCACCACCAGTCCGCACAGCCACACGGGGGAGATCCCCATGTCCATATCCAAGGGATGCCCCCACGACTCTTCGTGGATTAATTTAATTAAAATCGGTCGGTTATCGGCATTTATCAGCGAAACGATCAATAAATAACTATTGGGCGTCCACGTGGGTCACCTTGTGGCCGATCGGCATTAAAGGAGAGGGAAGGATTCCACCCCGTGTCAACTCACGCGGTTGACAGGTATGGGATTCGCCACAAATATCCCAAGTGACTCCTCTTATCCGGCGAAACGAGCCGTGTCACAGTGGAGGCCGTGAACAACAACAACAACAATAATTACGATGCCGTTTATAACGCCCCAGATTTTTTTGCAGACAAGTCAACAACTCGGAGGTGCGGAGCCACACTCAGGACTGCTCGAAAGCCCTGAGACCCAACACAGACAGAGGAGGCCTTTAGATGTTTCTTCAAAGTCAGAGTGCATATAGAGAGTTCCAGGTCGTGTGAGTGGGGGTCGTGGGGGTCGTGTGAATGGGGGTTCCGGGGGGTTCAGGGTCGTGCGGGTGGGGGTCGTGGGGGTCAGGGTCGTGTGGATCGAGTGAGTGGGGGGTCGTGTGAGTTTCCACCATTCCCTTTGCCCCCCCACCTCCTCACAGGATTAGCGCTTGCCCCGGCTTGGCCACCGTGCCCATGGCGAGATGTCTTCCTGCACCCTCGCTCCCTTCTCCCTCTCCCTCCTGCCGCTCCCAGGCAGGTCACCTGCGTGTGGCTCGAACGTGCCTGGTGCATCCAACCCGCGTGCGCTCGAGTGGCCGTTTGAACTATCTCAGTGCACGACGTGTTTTGTTTTATGTCACTTTGTCAAGGACTAACGCCACGTTCTCCCGAGACCACTGGGAACTGGGCTTATATATTTGAAGTTTGCGTGTCTCTCTATCCTCGTGGCCGCGTGGATTTTTCTCCGGGTCCTCCGGTTTTTCCCTCCACATTTGGAAACGTGCATTTGGAGTATTTGCCTGTTATAAATTTCCACGCGATAAGCCACTTGGTTGAACTATCATTTGTGTCAAGGTCGCTTCTGAAAAAAGAGCCATATCGCTCAGTGGGCTTTACCTGGTAAAATAAAACATGGTTTAAATAGTTTAATTTGGGTTCTCCCAAATATGTTCTTACCAGTGAAAGTGTGTCACCCCCACCCACCCCTGACTGTTACTCGTACCCCTGGATTAGGTTCTGTTTTGGTTAGGTCACAGAACCGAACGGTATGAAAGAATAAAATTATACCGATAGCGAACTGGGCCACCCGTTTCACAAGTAGGTTTGAAGCTTCTCTTAAAATCAAGGTTTGAGTTGAAAATGCACGGATATGCTTGTACCTTAACAAACATTTTGTTCGAAAAAAAATTAAGGGGTACAAATATTCAGAAAGGGGAACCAATATTCCCAAAGATTGCCTCCTGGGGGGAATTAATATTCACTTGACTCCTGCTCAGTTCGGCTCCAGGATAATGAGCAGCAGGACTCAAGCCAGCAGTCCCTGTGCTTCATGAGCCACGAGGCTGTGTAGACCCGGTACCTACAGCGATCGGAGTATTTGGTTCTGCGTGTGGGCGAGAAGCCTGGTCGTAACGTTTTTGCGATCATCTGGCAAATGGAGGTAAGGGATTGTGCGAGGCTGTAGATGAGAGTGCAGGGGAGCTCGGTGGAGATGTGATGATGACAGCGGCGATGAGGGCGTCGGCAGCATCCGCGACAAGGAAGTGGCAGAAGTGGGAGATGCTGCAGAGGTGGCGGTCAAAGGTCGTGCAAAGTAGTTCAGAGATGCGGGAAGAGCCTTGTCGGACTTTTTCAAGCCGAGGAAGGTTTTCGGTAGGATGGAAACTTGCAGGAATATTTAGATCCAAGTACTTTCAGGATGGCAGTCTTGTGAGCTTGGAAATGTATTCATGGAGATGGAGGAATTGGCAAACTTGGTAATGCAGTGGACCAGGATTTATAGGCTGTGAGGGGTGAGTTTGGTCAATAGATTGAGGATAGATGGAGACTTCTATTCGTGCTACCAAGCAAGTAGTTGTGTCCAAATGTGTCCATCCGTCAGTGATGTTGTCAAGGGCTAGGGCGTACAATATTTGCTGTTCTATCACGTATCTCTGGGACTGCTCAATAGCGTGGTGTAGACATGCTATGTATGTTGAACTTCTTCCACGCTAATCGGAGGTGTGGGGGAAGCACAACTAAACACAAAAAACAGTTCTAAAGACAGTTTTAAATGTAGATTATTTAAAAGTTAATAGTTCCAGTGGCTTCCTAATTTCGGAAGAGCGTTCCAGACGGCCGCAGAAGTGCATCTGAAAGCGCGCGATGCGGCAACCGTCTTTGTTCGATGGCCAGCCAAAAGTCGTTGCTGTGAGGATGACCGGAGTTCGGGAAATGGTTTATGCTCCTAGCAGTGCTGATGAACAGATCAGACACATCCAGACCTCTTATCTACACCCCCCTCCCCCCCCTCGAAATTGTTGCCTGCTCAACACTCGTCTGTGTGCATGGGTGTGTGTGCATGCTTGTGTGCGTGTATGCATGCGCGTGTGTGTGTGCATGCTTCAACTTACGGTCGTGAAAACTCGCTGAGGAACAGCACTCCAGCTGACAATACCTTAGAGCCGTTTCACACATCCACCCGTGGAACTGCCAGTACTGCGCGGTGATGCGTTGTTGAACGTACGAGAGGAGTGCACGAGAATCGTTGGCAGCGATGTTTCCCCAGACACGTTTCTCAAGACTGGTTGGTTGGAGTGCCAATTTACTTGTTTCCCCAACCACTCGTTTTTAAAATATATTAAAAAAAACATAAATGCACCAGAAGTGCACCTTATCCGGTCAGATTGTTGAAGCTAACCAGGGTTGAACCATTGTTACGCTGTACTTCTACGATCCCACATCTATGCCAGTCACCTTTATCTCGTATTGTCAGGAAACCTCTCTCCAGTCTGCAGTGCGGAGAGGCCCTCATCCACCAGATGAGTGACAGAGGGGTTTCTGCACGTGCACAATACAAGTCTGCAAAACTCGCAATGAATGTTACACCATGGAATGAAGAGGAGAGCTGGAAACTTTTTTTTTTATTCTACCAGGTAAGGGCCACCGAGATACACAGGTCTTTTTCAGAAGCGACCTGGCCACATATGATAGCTCAACAAAGTGACTTATCATGTAGAAATTTAATAGGCGCAATATAATCACAATGGACCCGAGGAAAATCCACCCGACCACAAGGAGAGAGAGACATGCAAACTCAAAGTATACAGCAGGTGTCAGGGTCCGGATGGGGGCCACAACTTCCTGTATACCAGGCGAGGTTGTTAACATCTTGCCACCGTGGTGCCAGAACCATCCCCGTCTGTCTGTGTGTGTGTGGTGCGCTGGCAGGCGAGGTTCTCCGATGCTGCGTGGGCTCGAGTTTGGTGGCGGAGGGGCGGCGGCCATGCCGTACCTCGTCGCGGGCGGCCTGGGTCTGCTGCTGCTGTACCGCCTCCTGCGCCGGTTGCAGCGCCGCATGCGCAGCCTCCACGGCAAGGTGGTGGTGGTCACGGGCGCCAGCTCGGGGCTCGGACTGGGTGCGTGTAACAGATCGCCATCATTGTCATCATCAGCCATGGTTTATCCCTCTGTATGTTTGCTGAACTTATGCACTGTACGTAGCCAACCGTGCTAATAGGAGGTGCGGGGGGAAGGACAAAAAACTCATCACAAAAAGCAGTTCTAAAGAAATGAGTTTTCAGTCTTCATTTAAAATTGCATAGCTCCAATGGATTCCTAATATCGGAAGGAAGAACGTTCCAGACGGCCACAGAAGGGACGTTTGAAAGCGTGCGTTGACCGTCCTTGCTCGACGGCACTTGCCCCAACAGCCCGTGTACCCTATATGGAGGATCTTTGTCTTCGTGTGCCTGTGCGTGCGCGATAGCATGTGCACGTGCGTTCCATGCGGAGGGAGCGAGGCTCGTGCTGTGCGGACGCGACCTGCGGAGACTCGAGTCTCTACGCGATGAGCTCTCGGAGAGAGTACGTATACTTGCTCCGCAGTCCACCACACACACACATACACACGTGACTCAGTGGCTCGGCTATCAGTGTGCAAGTGGTGCAATTGCACCAGGAGCTGAAAAGGCCCAATCATTCAGCTACAAGGGTGGGGGGGAAGGTAAATGGATGGGCCAGGGAGCTTCGTGACATTCCCCGCACAAAGGCCTAAACCAACCTCCACTCCGTCACTGTGCGTCACCCACAGGGCCCAGAGGACCGCACCCCACGCGTAGTGCCCTTTGACCTGGGCTCGCCTGGCGAGGTGGCGAGGGCGGCGGAGCGAGTGGTGGAGGCGTATGGCCGCGTCGATGTGCTTGTGAGCGGCGCGGGGATCAGCTACCGCGGGGAGGCAGCGCTCACCGCCATGGACGTGCACCGCCAGCTCATGGAGGTCAACTACTTTGGCGCCATCGCCCTCCTCACGGGTCAGTCGCCCCCCGCGCACGCATCTCCGGATCTCGGCCGTCGGCCAACGGCGACTCGCGTGCGCTAGTGCATGCAGCAGCAGCAGTCCAAGTCAAATAACGATTTGCTGCTCTGTATGTGTGGAGGAGCGGTAGTGTAGCGGTTAGTACGCTGTACTACGAACCCGGCGACCCCAGTTCGATTCCCGCTTACGGCCAACACCAGTGATGATTATCTGAACCGGTCCTGGGTCTCCCCTAGGTCAACTCAGCCTCAAATTAGTACTTGGTGCAGTGTGTAAACATTGCCGCTGGAAAGCCAAAGGCGGTCGGGCGTGGTGCTGTTCACCCACCCCCTTTGTCTTTGTGTGTACAAAGGCGGTCACCGCATCGTGCACTTTCAGATGCGCTTTTGTGGCCGTCTGGAACGCTCTTCCTTCCGATATTGGAAATCCACTGGAGCTATGCACTTTTAAATCTAGATCGAAAACTAATTTCTTTATAGCTGCTTTTTGTGTTTAGTTTGTCCTTCCGCCACCCCTCGCATTTAGCACGGTTGGCTACGTACGGTGTGAAAGAAGTTCAACATATGTACACATACGCATGTATGTTGAACTTAGCACGTAAGCATATGTTTTATTTAATGCAGACCGCCTTGTTGTGACTTTGGTGTCGCCCCGTAACCCTGAGAGAGCTGTGCGTGCTGTGCGTGGCTACTCCAGCCCTCCTGCCGTCGATGCTGAAGCAAGGAGAGGGGCACATCGTGGCCATTAGCAGCGTGCAGGGTCGCATCGCCATTCCCTTCCGTTCTGCATGTAAGCATTTGAGCGACCTGCACGTCAACACACCGCTAGCACTGTGTACGCCAACACAGACCTGTTTCAGCACGGCGACGCAACCTGTCGCGATGACTCTGCGCGCAGATGCCGCCTCCAAGCACGCCACGCAGGCGTACTTCGACAGCCTGCGCGCCGAGGTGGCCGACTCGGGGCTGAAGGTGACGGTCATGAGCCCCGGCTACATCCGCACCAACCTCTCGCTCAACGCGCTCACGGCCGACGGGACGCCATACCACGGTACGTGCCACGCACCACGTGCCACACGCCACGTGCCACACTCCACAGACAAAGAATCCGCCCCACTCCCTCCCGTAGCCTCAACAGACTATTGGGGCAAGTGCTGTGCACGCGTACAGTCTGTTCTCCTCAACGCTTTGGTTGTGTTTCCTAAGAACACCCCGTTATGAAAAAATCGCGTTATAAGCACGGTCCGCGATAACACGTGAGATGCTTAACGCAGGCCGAGCAAAGACTGAGGTGTGTGGGTAGCATCTCGTAGCATCCAGCACCATCCCAATGCCTTGAGATGCTTCGCCGGAGCAGCCGTATGACGGCTTATTCCGACTTGCGCGACGTAGTTCCGCTCTCTCAACCGCATTATATCAAGTTCGCAATCCACGTTATAAAAAAATGTGTTCCCCAATATATTAATCGCATTATATCCAATCCAACGTTATAAAAACATCACGTTATAGGAGAAGAGACTGTTTATAAATGTGGGGGCAGCATCACGCCCGACCGCCTGTCTCCCTAGTGGCAATGTTTACACACTGTACAAGCTACTCATTTTAGGCCGAGTCGACCTAGAGGAGGCCCAAGACCAGTTGAGATAAATTGTCAGTGGTGCTGCCCCTGGGCGTAGCGCAAGTAAATGATGGAGGAAGAAAAAAAACCCATAACAGAAAAATGAGTGCACCCTGGACACAAAATAGATTCAACAGCACATGGAGACATGCAGCACAAGCACAGCTCTGGGCCTTATCCACACCCCCAGCTCAAAAGCACTGGGCATTTTGTCATTCAGACCACCGGCTCAGGCAAGCAGCGAAAGTCGCTCTCGACAGAATTCCTTCCATCGAAGGACTCATCAGTCCAGCAGCCATCCACAAATATGCAGAGGACTGTAACCTTCACACTATCGTAATCCCCGGGAGCAGTTGTCTCAAGGCAACAATGATTAAAATCTGTAAATGACTCGAAAAGCCATCACAAGAGCGAAAGGAGTGGGCGAGCAGGCCAGAAACACAATGCAGTTCTCAACACGCTTAAGAGATGTGCGTCGCGTGTACAAAAAGACTCGGCCTTATTCCCAAAACCGCCATCCTTCCCTGCCCGACCACGGGCGCAGTGCTGCGTGCGTTGCACTGCATGCACCGTGCTGCCCTGCGCTACGTGCGTTGTGCTGAGTGTGCTGCGTTGTGCGCTGCGCTCGCGACGTGGTGCAGCGATGGACGCGAACACGGCGGGCGGGCGCTCCCCGGACAGCGTGGCGCGGGACGTGGTGGGGGCGGTGCTCGATGGCCGTGCCGAGGTGGTGTCGGCCGGGCTGGCGCCGACGGCCGCCGTCTACCTGCGCACCCTGCTCCCGTCGCTCTACTTCATCCTTATGGCGCGGCGCGCACGCTCCGATAGGAAAAAGGCCGAGCAGGCGTGACGGCGCCGCTGCTCTCCTCTCCCCCCACCCGCACAATACACGGAAAGTTGGAGATGCTGACAAAGCAGAATGAGATGGAGTTGGAACATGCATCTTTGTCCCGTATGTTGAACTTCTTTTGCACCGTACGCTGCCAAACAGTAAATCGGAGGTGCGATGCAATACGGACAAATGGAAGTGACCGAGAGACAATGAGGACAGAGACATGGAGACGTAGAAGGGGAAAGGCGCAGAGAGACAGAAGCGTAATGTGCACATTGTGCATAGGGGTCGGTGAAGAAAACTGAAGATAACTGGTTTTTGTGTTTAGTTTGTTGTCCTTCCCCCACACCTCCGATTAGCACGGTTGGCTACGTACGGTGCAAAAGAAGTTCAACATACAAGAGGGGCTGATAAATATGGACTCACAAGCTGCCCACACGTCCCTGTTGTGCTTTTATTTTTGATGCCTGTTTTGTGATTTCCCAGTGGGTTTATTTTCATAAAAACAAATGCAATGCCAAGGTTATGCACAACTGGACAAGTACGCAAGGAAAGGTTAGAGTGAACTCCATGGCATGTATCCTCAATGCCAGGAAGGTTGGCCGTTGTTCCAGATGCAGCCGTGTTCCTCACCCCGGTCAAATCAATGTCAATCGTAAAACGAACATTTTAATATGCTCACAAAACGTATGCAGTAACAGTATCGCAAACTTAAAAAAAATGTACAATTAAATTCAATTTGGTGCTGCAGATTTTTATTTTGCCAAAGTTTAAAACACATAAGCTCTTTTAAATGTATTTGAAATGTCGCTTGGGGTGTCTGTAAAAGACACGTTGACTTGAAATGAAGTAGCATAATATTATGTTTCCAGACAATTAAAAGTCCATGGAACTGATTACAAAAATTGCATTAAATGCAGTAACGCAGAAAATAAAATCGTTTGCTATTTTCACTTTGTCTGACGCTGCCTCGATTGGCGTTTTGAAAAATGCCGAGATTGACCGTTAACATGATTTCAGGTTTTCTATATTTATTGTTCATCGTTCATAGAGCACAAATGTGCATTTCATCACTGCTGGAGTCCAAGGTTTTACACATTTTATGCCTGTAATTTAAAACAGAACGCTCTACCCAAAACATAAAACAGCTCCTGGCACACACGCCTAGGATGCCAAAGGCGCTGGTGGCTCAGTGCTCTGGCACAACGACCACCACCACCACCCTCACCCCGAGCTACGGGACATGGGTTCCGTTCCGTTCCTCACGCCTTCCCCACCGTGGGAGTTCACGGCACGAGCCCACGGTAGTGCAGCATCAGTCCTCCTCCTCCACCACGTTAGCAATGCTCATTTTAACACTTTCACTTTAGAGGTCTTTGTAAATCCACTGCTGGATGTGTTGTTCACGGGGCTTGTTTGACCATACTTCACCGTGCTTGCCAGTGGGTGTTGGTGAACGTATGTATGTGGTGTTGGCCACCCACCCCCTCTCGTGTGCCGTTTCTGGCCTTCATAGGTGCTACTCGCTAACAAAACTTGCCCCAACAGTCTGTTAAGGCTATACGGGGGATCTTTGTATGTTTAACTTCTTTCGCACCGTTCGTAGCCAACCGTGCTAATCGGAGGTCCGGGAAGAAGTGGGGGTGGGGGGTGTCTCCAGGATCGGTTCGGATAACACTCGCCACGACCAGGAATAAAACTTGGGTCTCCGGGTTCGCGGTGCGGTGTGTTAACAACCACTGCCCCACCGCTCCGCCCCGAGCCGCGCATTCGAGGCCCGGCACGGTGGCGGCACCACTGGGGACCGCCCGTGTCCGCTGCTCTCCTGGCCACGCTCCCCACCCCCCTCAGCTGCCGTGCTCGAGCAGCAGCTGAGGATCGTGCGATGTCACGAGCAGGAAGACGCGGCGGCTCAGCTCGGGCCCCACGCGGCGTGACGTCGCCACGACGCCCTCACCACGCCGCACCAGCAGATCGGCGAGCAGGGCCGCGCGCTCGCGATCGCTCCCGCAGCGCGCGTACGCCTGCAGGGGCACGCAGCAGCAGCAGTAGCAGCAGCAGGAGCAGCAGTAGCAGCAGCACCGCGCATGGTGCACCGCATGCTCCGATAAGCACTTTTGGCGAGGTACAGTGCGGAAGAAGTTCAACGTGCGATTAGCGCTGCCGTGATACCGTTTTCACGCTGCGGTATAACATTTCACGACACCACGGTTGTACAGACAACAAAGCGATTTGCCGCTCAAGTAAACATTGAGGCGGTGCAGATCTCCTGTTTCCAGCCCGGAGCCAGCGGTGGAAACTCCACATTCCTATGGTGGTGTGAGTCCATCGAACATCCACTGTTAACTTCCCCACAAAGAGGTATATAGATATTTAGTTCATATTCTTAGTTCTTTCGGTAAAGTCACGTTGAAGGGAAACAATAAAATATATATAAAACAATAAAAAATTTCACGACGTTTCTACCATAACACAAACGGTCGTCAAACCGACACACCTGATGACGACCGTTTGTGTTATGGTCGAAACGTCGTGAAAATTTGTATTGTTTTATATATATTTTATTGTTTCCCTTCAACGTGACTTTACCGAAAGAGCTAAGAATATGAATTACTGCAGTCACGAAAGCTTTAAATCAAAAGATATTTAGTTTACAAAAACGTAATTGTGTTTCACATTTGTATTGTAATGTTTTTGTGCTTTTGTTCACTCGACATAACCCTGCCTAGAGTCTTCTAATCCGTAGGAAGGGTGCCGGGCGCACCCTGTCCTTGCTAGATATTAACATTTTACTTTCAAGCTAAAATACTCTTGGAAGCACAGATGAGAAGTAGCCATAATCTAACCTAAGGGAATACAATATGGCCATATATTACATTACACCAAGTAGTATTTTTTTACTTTACAAGATATAACATAAAATATGACCTCATAACTCGCTGGCCTGTGACGTGGCCAGAAGATGGTGAATTGGTTCATAAAGCTGCCTGGGTGGACATTTGAATATTGCCCCTTTCTATGCGTGGACTTTCACTGGCAACTCCACTTTGCTCCTACACACAAAACACACCCCCCAAAATGGAAATTGGCTGAATACCACTCCATTGAGACACATTTGCCCAAATCCTTCTGAAAAAGTCTCAAGACTCGGGAAGACCATTTTGGATAATTCCCCGTTATTTACATGTGACAGCATTATTTCCAAAACAAAACGCGAGGGCCGCAAAGACAAAAGCAACGCGTCGTCATTAAGAAGCGCGGTTGGGCCTGAGGTATCCCCTTCCTGTCACCCCCCCCCCCCGTGGCCACACGCACCTGCAGGAGGAGCCGGGGGGAGGGGAACGCGCGCACGATGGCACTCGCCATCTCGGCGCTCACGCGGTTCAGCTGCTGCAGCTGACGCTGCCACAGCTGCAGGTATCCACGGCCGTCGCGGTCCACGCGCACGCCGCCCGCCCCCTCGCTCTCCACACAGAACGCCAGGCCCGTCACCTCCCTCTCCCTCCTGCACACGACCCCCACGATGAATGTAGAGATAAACACAGGCACCGGAGCTGTGCACTCTTAAATCATCTCGATTGAAAGAAATTTCATACCTGCTTTTTGTGGGTTTTTTTTGTCCTTCCTCCGCATCTCTAATTGGCACAGTTGTCTAATAAGTTCAACAAATGTATCGCAAAGGCAAAGATCTCTTAACAGACTGTTAGTAAGTCTTGAGCATTTCTTATTGCACACTCTTATGAGTCTAGTTCACCATCACGAACTCGCACGAATCACACATGTCGTCTCTTGAAAAACTAGCTGTCAAATCGCCACACGAGGTTCACGTGCGGCGGGTACAGCAGATCATCGTGGGCTGCAGATCGTAGATGGCGTCGATTTGGGTCTGTCGAGACCGGTACACGCCGATCGGCGAGATAGGACGGAGTGGATTTATGCAGACTCTTGTAGACATATAGGCACAGTTTGTAAGCAATTATGTATTTAATAGGTAGCTAGTGTAGCTTACTGGAATGGCACGCGAGGGGATGGGTGACCAGCACCGCGCCTGGCAGCTTGTCTCCCTCGCGGTGATATTTACACACCGCACCATGTACTTGTTTCAGGCTGAGTCGACCTCGGGAAAGCTCAGGACCGGTTCAGATAATTGCCACTGGTGTTGGCCGTGAGCGAGAATTAAAATCGGGTCACGCCGGGTTCGTAGCAGAGCGCGCTAACCGCTGCACCACCGCTCCCCACTCACACACCCACGCCTCACCTAACTCACCGCCGCTCACATGGGCATCGCTGACCCCCACATCGGATCGCATCAAACGCCGGCGTTAATGTGCACAGCGTTGCTCGTGCCGTTAAAGCAAAGCGGAAACAGCTGCGCATCTCTCACTTGTAGGGAGCCACGGCGATGGCCTTGGTGAACATGGCCACAAAGTCGGCAAACTCCTTCCACGAGTCCAGAAAGCGCAGCGCCGTGCTGGTGTGCAGCTGCAGATCCACGAGCGCCTGGGGGACGGACACACGGGGGCACCCCGCACAAGCCTCCTCCTCTCTCCTCCTCCCCCATCCTGCCCCCCATCCTCCCCCCTCTCCTCCCCCTTCTCCTCCCTCCTCCCCACAGACGCAGCACACACAGAGGATATGCGCCCAGCCAGAGACGCCCAGCCTCACCTCCTCCATGTCCACCCGGGACACGTGGACTTTAGCTGGCATTGCTCGCTTGTTCAACCGCCTCTCCCCCGACTCTTTACTCGGCTTCTGTCCCTTGGTTTTCTGGCTGTTGCATTTTCAAAAGAACATGGTCACCAATATGTGCAGGAAGGTCGTGGGTTCGATCCCAGTTTTCCAATAGACTTTAAAAGTGTTGTTCCAAAGAGCTGATGACGTGCGTATTCGTGATGGTGGACTGGGCTCATAAGAGTGTAAGATAAGAAATGCTCAGACTTACTCAATAACAATAGTCTGTTAAGGCTATATGGGGATCTTTGTCTTTGCTGTACGTATGCTGAATTTCTTTCACACCATACGTAGCCAACTGTGCTAATCAGAGGTGTGGGGGAAGGACAACTAACTAAATACAAAAATCAGTTCTAAAGAAATTAGTTTTCAATCTAGATTTAAAAGTGCATAGCTCCGGTGGCTTCCTAATATCGGAAGAGCGTTCCAGACGGCCGCAGAAGCGCATCTGAAAGTGCGCGATGCGGTGATCGTCTTCGTTCGATGGCCAGCCAAAACCCGCTGCTGTAAAGATGATCGGAGTTCGTGTGATGGTGTATGCTATTTGACGAGATCAGCAAGGTGTTGCGGTTCATTTGTGGCAAGCACTTTGTGTGTGACGAGTGCGACCTTATAACGCATTCGTTCGGCAACCGGAAGCCAATGCAACTCGACGAGTCGGATATTTTAGTGCCCGTTGGCTTTCTCACACCCATGGGACTTTCTCAAACCCAAGTAGTCCCATGGGTGTGAGAAAGCCGTGCACCAGCCGATGTGCCTGTGGCCCCTCACTTGAAATACTTGTCGACGTCCACGACGGCCAGCGTGAGGGCGCAGTGTGGATGGGCCGCCATCACCGTGGAGACAAACCCCCTGAGTGAGAGGTGGCAGCCGCTGTCCCCGGAAGATGCCACCTGCTGACGACACGGAGAGAGAAAAATCGCAAATCGCTTCCGCGAGACTCAAAAGGAAAAGCACGTCGGTTGGTTAGATCCCTTCGACACAAGCTTCATCACTCAGCTTGCCCATTAACACTCCATGAGCATGCAGCTAAGACTACAGTGCTATTAACTCACCCTATAATTTTCAAACCGTACAATAAAATGTAATAAAAAGAACACTTAGGGACTTGGCAGAGGTATAGAATCAGAAGCAATACAAATCACTGTCCCTGAATGCCTGAGTCTCAAGACTTTTCAGGAGGGTCCTGCATTCAAATTCTTGTTTGGTTAAAAAAAAGAAAAATGATTTTTTTACATGAGAGGCAACTGGAGAGCCATGAGAAAACCTGCCCCACACGAGGTGGCTACACTGAAAAAAACCCGCAGAGATACGCTCATAAACATTTTCTGTACTTTAATATCCTGTCCCCCCTCTTAGCCCATTATGCATGTACATATTGTTGAACTTATTTTGCACCGTACGTAGCCAACTGTTGCTAATCTGAGCTGGACACACAGATAACGATGATGTCCGTATCATTCACCCGCCAGACACATATCTACAAACTTCCCAAGGGAGAGGGGGCAGCCCCAAAATATCAAGCTTTTTGGGCCCGACATTAACATAAAACCATTCATTGTAATTTCTCTGTTAAATATCAATCAAATACCGATTTTTTTTTTTTGGAAAGGGTGGTGGGGGAGGAGTTCCATTCCCCGCCCCGCAACCCGCGGATCTGCCACAGCTACTTTCACCCTGCTGTATGACCAGTGTGCAGCACAAACGCAGGGATGGTTTTGCAGCCTGCCCACCTGCTTGTGTGCGTCCACCATGGCAATGAAGTCCAGCACTGGGACCACAACCACGACAGGCTTCTCCTCTTCATCACTCTCCAGGCTGCTTGCCTACAGAAATCAAAATCAAGATAACACAAAATAATCGTTCGTGTGGTTGAAAATACAAGTAAGAAAATATGTTTATAATACACCTCATTTATCTGTCCACTAAAAAAGTATTTTATTAAACCTCCCCATGGTCACACTTCTTTCTGAGAGTGCATTTGTCAAACAGCATTGGTGTAATATTACAGACACTCCAGGACTGGTTTTGACATTCAGTGTCTCACCAGTAGTTTGAACTATCCAAACGTAACGCTTTCTTTGACGTTCAATGTCGGGGGATAGCGCGAACGCAGTCCCCCACTACCACAAATTATACAGTCGAGTTTCCCACATTTGGGGAAATCGCAGGGGTCAACCCTCCCGCAGTGCAATGGAAGAGCCTCGCCCTGGGAGGACCACCTGTGTGATCATGGTGCCTCCCCTGTCAGGTAAGTATGAGTTGGGCTGCTCCATCGCAGCCTTTCCACGGCGAGGCGCTTTCCTCTACGCTATGGGAACCAATTCCTTTCAAGCAAATACACGGCTAAAATGTAGCCGCTCGTATATTTAACGAGTAAATATGGTAACATTTACTCGTAAATATGGTAACATTTACTCGTTCAGTATCTTTCTATTCAGTTTTTTTATGTGGTCTTTAAAATTAAAATGCCGCATGGCATCATGGGATTTGTCTAAGCCCCCCCCTACATCACCCACGTGACTTGGCAGACCCACGCACGTACAAAGATTCGATTTTTTTCTCACGAAGCGACGTCGCGGGAGACGAGTTAAAGGAAGAACACAACAATAATAATTATTTAAAAAATGGCAATGTCATTTTGGAACAGGGGTCCTAAACGCATTCAACCTGAGAAACCATTTTTACACTGCAAAAAAATACAACAGCTGATGACGACAAAGGTGTTGCAATTGAAACGTTGTGATATTTTTAATCACTTTATTTTTATTTTTTCTATCTACGTGACTTTACCGAAAGAACCATAGAATAAGGAAGGGAAAAAGCTTTTGTGGTATTTTATCTATTAAAAAAAATGTTGACACGTCCCATTGGCCACACAACCTCCTGGGAGTATGTTTTTAAAACCACACTGGTGAATACAAGCAAACTCAGGGACTGCTTTTGTGTGTATGTATGTTGAACTTCCGTCGCACTGTACATAGCCAACTGTGCTAATCGGAGGTTTTGACATTCGCTTTCTCATCAGCAGTCAGGATTGCTGATGAACTGCCAGATGTTTAAAGGCAAGGACCCCCCACAAAGCAACTTAATCAGATGGCCTCGTTTTGAATCTCCCTGGGGAATGTAATTCACAGGTTGAGAATTACTGGTTGAGGCGGAGGTCGTGGGTTCGATCCCGACCCCGATGCCTGCTGTATATTTGGAGTTCATACTCTTTGGTTCTTTCGGTAGTCACGTAGTTAGAAATAAAATAAAACAAATCACGACGTTTCGACCGCAACACAAGTGGTCGTCATCATATTTCTACCCACGTGACTTTACCGAAAGAACCAAAAAGTATTGATTTCTGCAGTCACGAAAGCTTCAAATCAAGATATTTGGAGTTTTCAAAATATCCGTCCGCGGTCGTGTGTATTTTTCTCCGAGTCCTCCGGTTTTTCCCTCCACATGTCGAATCGACGTTTACTGTACTTGGCTGTTATAAATTTCCACGCGATAGCTCACCTCGTTGGGCTATAATTTTAGGCCAGGTCGCTTCTGAAAAAGAACCATATAGCTTAGTGGGCCTTACCTGGTAAAATAAAAAAAAGTTTGTAGTATTTTTTGCTTCAAGCAATGGAGGATTCACCTCTGCCGCGGCGAGGCCGGGCAGGCTTCTGCGCCAGCCGATGCTGCGCTGCACACGGCGCCCAGCGATGACACAACGCGACTCAAGGGCCTGCAATGCCGACAGCACCAAGCCTCCCCCCTCGGCCTCCAGCACTCCTGGCGCGCACACACACACACACACACGTGCGCGTTGTATGGCAATTGTGAGCTCAACGGATTACGCACCCATACTACACAAATGCAGCACACCCACTCCGAAAAAAAAACTACATGCATGAAGTGGCCAAGTGGCTCAAGGCGCCATGGCGGCGAGATGTTAACTACCCTCGCCTGGACACAGGGCGTGGGTTTGATCCCGACCCTGACGCCTGTTGTATATTTGCAGTTTGCATGTCTCTCTCCCCATGGTCGTGTGGATTTTTCTCCAGATCCTCCGGTTTTTCCCTCCACATTTAAAATTAACGTGCGTTTAGAGTATTTGGCTGCTATTAATTTCCACATGATAAGCCACTTTGTTGAGTTATCACTTGTGGTCGGGTCGCTTCTGAAAATGAGCTATATAGCTCTTGTGGGTCTTACCTGGTAAAATAAAAATAGTTTAAACAAAATCAAAAGTTTGATTTTAATAAAAAGTAAGATTTGCAACCATTAAGCAAGCCACTGTTGGATGAAGACCTCCCCAAACCGTGTCAGTTATGGGTGTTGTTTGACCATACTTCACTCTGCTGGTCAGTGCGGGTTCGTGAAGGGGACCGTCAGGACCAGTTCAGGTATCACTCGCAATCAATGCTCGCCGTAAACTGAGACATTGAACTCGGGTCGCAAGATTCGTCGGTGCAGTGAGTTAACCATTTGTGCCACGAGAAATATAAGAGGAAAATACAGGACGGGTAACAGAGTACGGCACCTGGGTCCACGCACACGGCCATGTGCTTCATACACTCCTCGGGCCGCTGAGCCTTGATGAGGGCGGCGGTGGCCTGCCTGCCGGCCCTCTCACGCTCCTTCTCCTGCTGCGCCTCTACGCGCCGTGTGCTCTGCTCCTCCAGCTGAGCCTTCTTGCCTCCCCGTGCCTCTTCCTCTTGCTTATTCTTCTCTTGCGGATGCTGCTGCTGTCGTCGAGGCAGCTTCGACGTTGGGACAGAGGCTCCACAATCTCAACAAGAGAATCCACAGCGAAACACCCAATGGTCACATCCTCATCCAGGGTTCAAGTCAAGTCAGTGACTGATGTTGCCTCACTTCTCACCTGTCTGTATGTATGTGCATGTTAAACTTCGTTTGCACCTTACGTAGCCAACCATGCCAATCGGAGGTGTGAGGGAAGGACAACAAACTAAACACAAAAAGCAGTTCTAAAGAAATTCGTTTTGAATCTAGATTTAAAAGTAAATAGCTCCAGGCAGCCGCAGAAGCACATCTGAAAGCGCGCGTGGCACGGACGGTCATCTGCAACAGCTGAGATCCCTCAACTGTTGCAGATGACATCAGGCCTCATACGTCTGATCTTACAGCACACTAGAATCCGGATATAAGCATACCCCTGGGAAGCAAGCCCAACTGTGCTTATATTGAAAGTAGTGTGCTCATATCAGAAGTTTCCCTTCTTCCTACAACCGGCGTCATGCTTACATAAGGTGTGCTTTTATCCAACTCTGAAGTGTTGCGGTGGTTGGTGGACGTTCAGACACTGAGAAGCAGCAGCTACTCCTCTCTCAAGCATTGTAAGAGTGTCGTCACCCCACCGGAGGCTCGTCTGTTACTAGCGAGGTCAAAATGACTCAACTACCATGTTGCGGGTGCCAATTGTTTATCCATTTTTGTGCAATTGCGCAAAACTATTTTCTCTTCTACACTTTTCCCACTCGTCCGCTTGCTGGCCTCATTAATAAATGCTATCGGATGTTAAAGAGGCGTTCACAGTAATAGTTTTTGCGTACTCACCTGCTACCATCTGGCAGCGTTTTCGCATGAGTCCGTCTCTATCTATCTCCACGCCCAGAGCGTCCCTTGGCTTTCGATGCGAGAGGGAGATCGAGGGGCCTTCGTCACCAACGGACAAGGCCACTGGTCCCAGCAGCAGCTGCCCACTCCGACCGAGTGACGTCCCCGGCTCCCGCACTTTGGTCCAGCTCCCCGCACCAACGTCAACAATGTCCCCAACGTCGTCTTCGCTCAACGTGAGCCCGGTTCTAGTGTCGCTGCCGCCGCCTCTAACCCCACAGTCCTCCTGCCGCCGTTTTTTATCCAGCCTCTCCCTGATCCTCTTCATCACGTCCTCATCAGAGTCCGAGTCGTCCCGGAGGAGATCGATGCTCGTCGCCCCGTCCTTTGCGCCGCCCGGCAAGGCCCGCGCGATGGGCGCCTGCATCCTCAGCCTCTGCGCGAGGGGGCCGACGGGCAGCTCGTCCTCGCTGGACGACGACAGCTCTAGCAGCGCCATGCCAGGGGGTGGGTCGGGGTGGTGGACTCAGCCAGGCGATCCCTGCATACGGCACAGAAAATGGCGTGAAAAACAATCTTTGCTAGGATGTCGCGGGCACGCGCGCTACACCAACGGCTGGGTCCGTCTTCGGCAAGACCTCTGGGAGACTCCCCTTGACATTTGAATCATTTGGCAGGACCCTGGGGTCCCGCAAAAATCAGGTCAATAATTATAATTTTTGAGTCCGCCCACTCGTGACCCCGACAGCAACGCGCCGCCCGCCCAGACTCGCGCCAACAAGTGCCAGCAGCAGGCGGCGATCAACACGATAGGCGCCACCCCACCGGCCAAACGCAAGCCCGGGGGGCGTCTGCCGCAGTCGCGTGTGGCGACGACGCCCTCCGGTCAGCCGTCGATCCTCAGCTTCTTTGCCAAGGCGAGCCCGCCCCCGCAGTGAATTTAACGTGTTTATGTAATTTTTCAACTTTTTACGAAACTTAGTGCCCCGAGTAGCTCTCGACGAGGCCAATCGATTGACGCTAGTTATGTTGTCGGTAAGGCAAGACTCGTGTCGCTACGCGGTTTTTCCCACCCCGGTGCAGTGATGGGACCCCAGGGTCCCGCCAATTGCTTCATTTGCCTTTTGTTACATTGAGAGAAGTTCGCCGAGGCTCCGCTGAGACCCTTCTCAGAGACAAGTCCACTGAGACAGAGACGGACTAACAAGTCCACTGAGACAGAGCATACACTTGTACTGTATGCCGTTCAGAGAGACACGCAAGGCGTTATAAACACTGGACAGTATAACGTTTACAATGTAACGCTGTGTGTGTGCAACGTTTATAATACTCGTTGGTTCTATTCGGTAAAGTCACGTAGGTAAAAAATAAAATAACAAAAATCACGACGTTTCGGCCACAACACAAGTGGCCTTCATCAGGTGAAGGGACCGTGCTGTCATGAGGACAGCGTTGGAGTGAAAACAGCCAAACCAAAGAGTATGGATCCTTGCAGTCACGAAAGCTTCAAATCTAGAATTTATAACCTCTACGGGGAGGGCTTTCACCTATCTGTTAGAGCTTTCAACAGACAACGGGACAAGAAGTCAAAGCTCATCGAGATGCTGACCTTCTATGCTAATTCCTTTGTCAAAGCGTTTCGCTTCCTCCCACACAGCTTAAAGGACGCGACCTGGGCTTGGCTGTTTTCACTCCAACGCTGTCCTCTGGACAGTCCGGTCCCTTCATCTGATGAAGGCCACTTGTGTTGTGGCCGAAACGTCGTGATTTTTGTTATTTTATTTTTTACCTACGTGACTTTACCGAATAGAACCAAAGAGTATGGATCCTTGCAGTCACGAAAGCTTCAAATCTAGAACGTTTATAATGTAACGCTGTGTGTGTAACGTTTACAATGTAACGCTGTGTGTGTAACGTTTACAATGTATCACTGTGTGCAATGTAACGCTGTGTGTGCAACGTTTACAATGTAACGCTGTGTGTGTGTAAGCACGTGTTGGGGGTGCATCGGAACTCACACGTGGACGGGAGTCCGGTTCAGTCTTGCTCCACGTCCGCGACTTTGATCAGCCCGACACCAACCGAGCCGGGACCACCTCTGAACAAACCACTTCACAAAGGCAAAGATTTACCCCCCCCTCCCCTCCGTATAGCCTTATCACACTGTTGCTACTCGCTAACAGCAATCGCTGTTAGCGAGCACCTATTAAGGCCGACACAGCACACGAATCGGGTGGGTGGCCAGCACTACACCCCGGCCGCCTTTGTCTCCCTAGTGGCGATGTTTTTACACACCGCACCAAGTACTCATTTGATAATATAGGTGGGGGGGGGGGTTAATCGCGTAAACGTGTTGTTAAACCCGCCACCACGTAAACAGAACGTGGCCAATTCGTCACTAGTACAGCACACCAGTGTGTTGGACAGCAAAGCCACAACATTTACAATCAGTACGACGTTTCGCCAATAATTACAAACGGCATCATCAGGCGGACAGCCAGATTTGTGGACAAATCCTCCTTGACTTAAAGCTTTCGTGATTGCAGGAATTCAAATTATTTGGGTCTTTCGGTAAAGTCACGTAGTTAGGTAAAACAAAAATAACAAGAAAAAACTACGACGTTTCGATCGCAACACACGCGGTCGTCATCAGGAACGCTTGCGTTGCGATCGAAACGTCGTAGTTTTGTTATTTTCTTTGAACCTAACTGCGTGACTTTACCCGAAAGACCCAAAGAATAGCCAAATCCTCCTGTTTCGTTCCTTAACTGGATGACATTGGTCGCGAAAGCCCGCAGCGTTAAAACGAATCGTCGATGCCAAGTCAATGTAAGGGGGGTGGGGAGGCCCAGGAGCGGCTCACACAAGCGGGACTCGAACTCGGGTGGGCCCAGGTTCGTCGGCGCAACTCGCCACCACTAAACTATAACAAACTCTTTGTTAACCTCGCCACTGCAACGGAGCACCAAGAGTTGCTACTCGCGCGTGTCGCTGAACTTCTTTCGCGCCGTACGCGGCCGCCCGCGCCGACGTGGAGGTTACGGGGGGGGTGGGAGGCAGTAGCGGCCTCTTCCAAGTTGGCGTCAACTCCGTGAGCCCCGTAGGCCGGCCGCTGCCGTGCCCGTGGTTTAAGCGACGGCAGCTTTGTACACACGCACGCAACAAGTCAAGCGTCGAGAGCACGGGCCGCGAAACGCCAAGCATACCAGCAACAAACAGCACTCATCGACGTGGTGGTGGCGCTGCTGTAAAGAGACGCACGTTTTGTTTATCGTAATCGCGACTCGGGAGAATGGCTCGCTGGCTGTGGCTGTCTCCCCGCTGTGTGTGTCCGCGCTCACGGTGGTTAACTAGTGGTGAAGTAGTGGTTAACTAGTGGTGAAGTAGTGGTTAACTAGTGGTGAAGTAGTGGTGAAGTAGTGGTTGACTAGTGGTTGACTAGTGGTGACGTAGTGGTTAACTAGTGGTGAAGTAGTGCTTAACTAGTTGTGAAGTAGTGGTTAACCAGAGACGTTGCCCCGCGTTACCGCCGGAGTTAACCTCCCGCGCGTGACGTCACCCGCGAGCGCCACGCCCATTGGTCAAAAGCGCTGCACCACAATTGGCGGGAAGGAGAAGAAAAAAACGAATCGGCAGGAATCGATTCACGACTACCCCCATCTTGGTCAAAGATCGATTCGCGCGGGATTCTGTCAATGGGTTTTTTTTACGATTCACATTTATTGTACTACGCACATTGTCCGGTTCGTGGAGATGTTCTACAAGTTGCACAGGGGCAGATGGTGAAGCGTGTAAACGATACTCGGATCCGTCCTGTAAAATCAATTCACGCGTACGATTCACCCGTTTGGAATCGATTATTATACTACTGTGTGCAAATCAAACATTTACATTTACGACAACGAAGTTTTTTCAAAGGCGACGTAGAAACGGACGTTCTCCTGCATAGATGTTGATTTTCTTAAAGGTGAAACGGACATTATAAAGGAGACGAAAATAAATATTGTCACAGCTGTGGTTTTCACACCTGATGATGATTGCTTGTGTTGCAGTCGAAACGTCGTGAGAATTTTATTGTTTTATATTTGTATTGCTTCCCTTCTACGTGACTTTACCGAAAGAACAAAGAATATGAATCCCTGCAGTCACGAAAGCTTTAAGTAAAAATATCTCAAGACCTGTTTTGTTACCAACAATGGTAATGTATTACACCGATGCTGCTAAGAATTCGCTCCCCAGGCGGTTGTGTGTGTAACCAACCAGGCATATTGTCAAGAGATATTCTTAACGAACGCAAACGATTCATTCGTAAAAACACACACAAGGGTGTGTGGGTGAAGCAAAACATTTGAACAGTTATGCATTGACCGACTGTGGTTGACCGAAAGTACACCTAGCCTGGCACACGCGCCCTGCCTCTTGGTGGCTCAGAAAGTTGTTGTTGTTGGTGCAGCGCGACCTCTGCAATGCCTCCCGCGCGTCACGTGACCCTCGAGTCTCGCGCGTCACGTGACCCTCGAGTCTCGCGCGTCGTCGTCACGTGGTCTACTGAAGGCGTACCGGTTGGTTGTCTTTTTTTTTGCGGCGGGACACCGCGGATGTTCGTGTCTCGCGCCGGACACGAGAGGGTCACGCGCACGGGGGGTGTGGGGGGGATCGCGTGGGGGGGTCACGCGCGTGGGTGGGGGTCACGTACATGGGGGGTGGGGGGGGTCACGCGCGGGGGGAGGGGGGGTCACGCGCGCGGGGAGGGGGGGTCACGCGCGGGGGGAGGGGGGGGTCAAGCGCGGGGGGTGGAGGGAGGTCACACACGCGCCATGGGGGTCACGTGGAGCGGAGGGCAGCAGCCGGGCGGTGCCGCGCGGGCAGCCGCGTGCGTGCGCCAGGTGCGGTGGTGGTGGTGGGGGGCGGTCGCCGCTCCGCTGCGTGACGATTCATGACCCCCCCCCCCACCCGAGTTCGATTCCCGCTCACGGCCACCGCCAACGTCAATGAAGATTGTCTGAACCGGTCCTGGGCCATCCCCAAACGTCGTAACTCAGCCTCGAATGAGTTCCCGGTGCGGCGGTGTGTAGTAAACGTCGTCACTGGGGAGACAAAGGCGGCCGGGCGTGGTATTGACCACCCACCCGCTCGTAGCTGTCTTTAGCTCGTCCGTTACCTCACCACGAGTGTACCAATTTAAAGAGTTCCTAAAAATAATATCCGCTTTGGGCCAGTAGCGCCACGAAAGCGAATAGTGAGCGATGGGATCACTGCGAGTTATTTACACTGAACATCTGTGACAAAAGAGCTTTAGGGCTCATCGGATTTCCTCCAAGTGTGACTACGTATTCTGATTATTATTTTTATTCTGACAGTGTGAGGATTGTGAAGCAAAGTGCAGTGTCCCCAGGGTTGGGAGGAAGATCGCGTCAGCTAATGTGGTTATCTGATAATGTGAGGGAGATAACGCAAAGCGGAGTAACGTTGGACGTGCGTTGTCAATCACAAAGAGTCATTTACACATGATCGAAATTGACAGTTTATTATATTTTTATTATTGCATTCTTCGTTGTACATTGTAATTCGTGTATCATTAACATCGGTGGTGTGCTTATAATGGTGCAGCTTGCATCGTCCATGCTAACAGCGAAGGGTTTTTCTTTGCCTGAGGGGAATGCCCAGTGTCTTTATGAACACGGTTTGGTCACGTACGGCGCGAAATAAGTTCAACAATGCGTACGCAACACGCATGTTTCCCTGAAGTGTGATTTTGTTCCTTGCAAATATAGCTCAGGTGATATTTCCAAAATCACTTTTCAATTTAAAAAGTCCGATAAACCAACACCTTAGCGAACAGGTACCTTGCTGGCTGATCGTTATCGCCCCCAGGGCCCATCCATTTATGTAGTACTAGCTTGGACTTGGATTCACGACGCTTGGCCGCCTTTGTCTCCCCAGTGGCGATGTTCACACACCACACCAGTTACTCGTTTGAGGCTGAGTCGACTTAGGGGAGGCTCAGGTCCGGTTCAAATAATCGTGGTGGCCGTGAGCGGGAATCGAACTCGGGTCGCCGGGTTCGTAGCGCGGCGCGCTAACCGCTACACTACAATGCGTTACGCTTCCACATGCGAGGGTCACGTGACAGATGTGACGTCACAGCTCACTTGCCGTGCAAAATATTGATGTATTATTGAGCTCCCCCCCCTAAAAAAAACCAAAGTGTATTTTTATAATTTTTGCATGGTGTACATTCTGGAAAGTACCCACATGGCAATTTTCCAGTTTGTTGCATGTCGGGAAGTACGCTAAACATTTCGTACAGACACAAACACAACTTTGCCTTTTATATATATGGAGACGTACACATGGAGGGGGGGGGGGTGACCCAAATGTGTACGCTTGCGTATGGGGGGTCTACATTGGCCTTCAAATTAGATAGTCCGGCGGTGGACAATGTATGCTAAAACACGTTAATATTATTATTAATCCTTGATCGTTTCTGCGTGGATTAAATATCGGCCGTTCTATAGGATTCGGGGAGGTGGGGTGGAGTTGTCAAGTTTTGACAAATTTGTGCGTTCCTACTCAATGGATGCCCCCCCCCACCACTGCCATGTGTCCTCTCGTGTCCTGGCGCATGCAGATGGCAGAGCTGGGCGACGAGGCATTTTGGAGGCCGTTCCTGGGGGAGAGCGACGCCGCAGGGCAGGACGCGTTCCTCTACGTGACTGCGGGCGACGTGCGAGCCTTGCGCGACGAGCTCCCATCAGGACTCTGCACGCTCATTCACAAGGCAAACTGCAATTAAGCAGCCATCAGCATCGTCGTCGGCGGTGAACAGTTTTGAGTTTCAGTTTTTTTTGCAGTTTCATTTATTTTGGTGTAGCCCTGAGCCATTCGGCTCTTGAATCGTGTGCAGAGATTATTCTTTGTTGTGTTAGGAAATAAATTATATTTTCATTTGATATGTGCTTCAATTGTGGATGTTGCTGCAATGACACTATGCAAGTCAGTGGCCAACTCTTGTGGGTGATCACTTAAAAAAAATAACGAGTTGCCCCTGGTAAAGGTGCTATTTACATGCTAACTGAGGCCCATGTCAGCCTTTCAGACCGCTCCATCTTGGTGGAGTCAATTTAAATCAGGCATTTTCTTCCAACATGAGTAACACCCATTCTGTTATCATTCTACAAAGATTAACCCTTGGATTTGTGTGGAACCAGGCTGTGGAGAAACTGAGAGTGGCTGCAGAGTCTGGCTGCGCAGACGATCAGGAACCAGTGGTGGTGTTGACCTGCATCCGCCTGCTGACAAGGCTCCTGCCGTTTGTGTTCGAGGATGCACAGTGGAAGGATTTCTTCTGGGCCCATGCACCTACTCACCACAACGTAAATGTAAGTTGCGTTTTATTGTACGTACGTATGTTGAACTTCTTTCGCACCGTACATAGCCAACCGTGCTAATCAGAGGTGCGGGACTTTTTTCATTACGGTATTTGTTCGAATCATTTATTGATCAGTGGATGCCAAATGCAACGGGGAATAAGAAGCAAGATACTCAAAGAGAGGTTTCTGTAATACCTCTGAGACCAGTAGCAGATCTCCACGGATGAACTAGGAATCTGTTTGGGGGGTCTCAAGTATCCATCGCCCATAGCAGCCTAGAAATGAAGCCTGATGGCCCTACTAGTTTATCGCCAACTGGGTCATGATGGGTTGAGATCACTGCCATTAAATAGCGTGACACTTTGTTAGAAAATGTAAAAGTGGTAAGCATATTGACGCATTCCCTGACACCACTGTATATGTGCAGCATCCACCACTGGCTCAGGGCTTTAAACTGGAGATAAGGGCTGCCTAAACAATATTTGACAAAACTAGAACATATTTAAATTGTCAGGGTTGATTTTTTCATTGTAATTGTACAACGGGTTTCAGTTAAATGGCAGTGCCAGTAAGTTAGACAATATGGTTAAGTAAACGCTGTGATAGCAAAGATTCTGCAATTTTTTAAAACTATATTTTAGATATGACTCTGTATGTGATGCCTGCTCTTAATGTAACTGATTTCTCCTTAACATTGTTACTCTATACTACATGACTGGCATTGTGTGGCATTTAATTTGGGTTTACATCAAAGGGTACAGCTGAAATCCACAGCCTGATTGGTACAAACCTAAATTTTGGGTTGCTGCACAGATGCAATTATTCCCGACTTGCCTTAACTGCACTGGTGCAAATAAATTGATGGAATGCCTGTTGTCAATTACGGCTGCTGGGAAAGTCGATTCAGGGCAGGAAATAATAAAGTAAACCTCTTATTGGTCTATGTGCAGTCTACAATTATTAATGTGTGCTATCCTTTATGACTTAATGCATTGTCTGACAAATGTAGGTGGAGGAAGATACGAGCAAAGTCACGCCCCCATTGGCTGAGACGCTGCTGCTTGCAATCGCTGAGCTGCTCTTCTGTCCGGGCTTCACTGTGGCACCGCACAGGCAGCCTGGCCCCGTAATGGAACTGGAGAATACTTGTCACCATTCACTGCATTAGTAGTTGTGTTGTGCATAAATTAAAATGTTTGAGAAATTATGACATTTAAAAATAAATATATTTGGAGATTTTGTTGGATTAAATTGACCGTTTTGACAAAAGTAACTATTAATATATGCAGGCCAGATGGTTATATAATTATAATCGGAGCTTAATTGTAGGGTGCCACGGTGGCGAGATGTTAACTACCTTGCCTGGTATACAGGAGGTTATGAGTTTGATCCCGACCCTGTCGCCATTTGTATATTTGGAGTTTGCGTGTCTTTCTCCCCGTGATCACGTGGATTTTTCTCCAAAACATGCATTTAGAGTATTTGACTGCTATTAATTTCCACATAATAAGCCACTTTGTTGAGTTAACATTTGTGGTCAGCTCGCTTCTAAAAAAGAGCTGTATCGCGGCCTTACACGATAATTTTTTTTTATATATATAATTTTATATTCGTCAAGCTAACCTCATATTTAGTCAAGCTAGAGCTTCAAAAGTCGTTTGGTTATTGTGTGGCAGGACACACCAGAGGATACTTGGCCACTTGACAGCTGTGAGTTCATCTGGGAGGCAGGGGTGGGAGTCAATATCTCTCCACCACAGAGCTATGTGCACGACACTAACAGGTAAGTTAATTTTGTTTTCCCTTTGTCATTTTAATAATTTATGCGACACTATAATCGACACGAGAAAACGTGTTTTCTTGACAGGCAAGCTGCCTGATTTTAGCCCAGAATTTCAGGTGTGTCGGCACACCTGCATTATTTTATTAATTCATTTTTAATGATTACATAATTTTATATCCAGGTGTTAGCCCCCACACAAATCACATGGCAGTGAATCCTGGGGCAACATTTTCATGCCCAGGGGTAATGAGTAATTGGTAACGTAACCATGGATAAGAGGAGTATCACTATGTGTCTTTAAGGTAATGCAAATGTTTGAAACTAATATTGTTGGATTTTGTTATGTAGGTAGAGTATACAGAGAATCACATGGTATATGCTGGTGTAGTGCTAGCATAAGAATGTGTTGATACAATATATAATATATGTTTGTGAAAATCCATGAATCTTGCATGAGATTCAAGATGATTTTGCGTTCTCTTTATGGTATCAATTTGAATTATGCTTGCATCTGTGTCTCTGGCCTGTACATAAATTTCAGAAGGGTTATTTTTTATATGTTTTTAACTTCATTAAATACCCGTGATATCTAATTTGCAGATGTTCTTTATTCCTTTTGTATGGACAGGTTGGAAATATTAAAGCTGCTTTTGACCTGCTTCTCTGAGGTGATATACCAATCTGAAAATGACCCACGGAGCTGCAATTCCTGGGTGAAATTGTTCTGCTCAAAGGAGAACAGGCAGGTGTTTGGTCATTTGAGGAGTGATCATAGTAAATATAATTTGTAGTCAGGTAAATAACTCAAGTTCCTTAAGAGTTGATTAGGTTACCGTGTGATAATTGAGCTTATTTAGCTGCTGTATCATTAATTTAGTTAACATTTTGCTTTTGTGCGTATTCCTCCCATGTCTTACCAGATTTGTTTCTCCAGAATTAATCAAATCCCAATACATGTTCTTTTCTTTCTTGAGTAAGAAATTCAGCTCCACTGTTTCCTTTTCTACGTTCATGCGTTCACAGGCACACTCTGGCCTTGTTCACGTCTCTCTTGAATGTGGTGTTTGCCTACGACCCTGTGGGCTACGGGGTGCCGTACAATTACCTGCTGGTGCGCGATCACCGTGAGCCACTCGTTGAGGTGGCCTGCCAGGTGCTGATTGCCGCATTGGACGGGGAACATTCCCTTCCTGGCTCTCCCTTCTTTGGCTTCTCCATCGGTGACATCGAGAACCCACAGCAGTCACGGACACAAAAGGTACCACGTTAATATCATCTGTTATATAGGGAGCCGTGTCTCTGTGCTTGTGGATATGGGATTATATAGGGGTTCAATTTTGATTTAAAGCTTTCGTGACTGCAGTAATTCATAGTCTTAGCTCTTTCGGTAAAGTCACGTTGAAGGGAAACAATAAAATATATATAAAACAATACAATTTTTCACGACGTTTCGACCGTTTGTGTTATGGTCGAAACGTCGTGAGAATTTTTATTGTTTTATATATATTTTATTATTTTATTGTTTCCCTTCAACGTGACTTTACCGAAAGAGCTAAGACTATATATATAGGGGTTGTTAATCGCATGGTAAAAAAGGTCACCGGTTTGCCACACACGCAGAAACGTCTGTCAACAAACTAAGGGAGCTGCCATTGTGTAAAGGTTAGCTAGATACTTAGATTCCATTTCCTGGGGGGGCAGTTGAAATAATGTGGAAAGCTTATTGATCCCCTCGCCTAGGTGCACCCAGTGTGGGTATGTTGAACTCTTTCCAAGGCGTCTGATAAACATTGCAGAAGAAACCAAATTTCCCCTTAGAGGTCCCTCTAGTGAAGGCTCTACTGTCAGCAGTGGCGTGAACAAGCAAGCAAGGGCAGGATTTCACATTTACCTTTTGAGCTGAGAAACGTGGGCAAATATAATTCAGGCCGCCATGTGGTTTTTACATTCACCTGTGCTAATCGGTGCATTCTTGAATCAAATTGCCGGTTCCCAGCTTTCAGAACTCGTTATTAATTATGAAAATGGTTACCGGGTTACTGATTGACTTTGAAGAACCCTAATTCATATACAGTACAACGGTAGCCCACAACATTATACCAGCGCTCTTGAAATTGGATTTGTAGATCACATACATTTGTGTGACTATTAAACCTGTTGGATGGCAAGGTTGCCAGGAGACATCAGTTACTGTAAGTAGGTTCACGAACTCATCTGTGTTGGGGTTCACCTCATTGAGTCTCATTAATTTGAATCATATTTTAATTATATAATTGGTATAAAAGGCAAATGTAGCCTCCAAATCCAGGATACATTGACCCGTCATTCTAACATCCTTCATCTTGTCACACTTCACACCTACGGTGTAACATGGACATCACTAGAATGCTCTGGGATAAGAGGCCAATAGGATGAGATGAGTCCTATTACATTTAAAATAACCCAAATACTGTACGTGTTTCTCTCTACAGATTAAAAAGACATTTCAAATATAACAATTAAAACTAATATTAGCTGCTACATCAAGGGAAAACAGCATTAGAGAGCTTCACAATATACCATTGTGCACCATTATCATTCCAACATTATTTTCGTGTCTTACAGCATTTGAACTGCAGCAATCTCTTTGTGACTTACCTCTCCAAGATTCATAATGATGAGGTGAGAGCGTTTTGTGGGGGTTGTAGAAGGTAATACTATACTTTGGGAAAAAGAAAAGGTACCTGGAAGAGTGTTAGGAATGTTTGGTGGCGGTATAGAAAATGAAGAGCAGAATGGAAGTGAAGGGAACTAGCGTAAGAACTAAGACATGCGGCCAGGAGAAAAGGATGTTAGAGATTGTTAGTATGTCATATGTTGGAGAAGAGGAAACTGCAATAAGTTTAAAAGGTCCACAGATAAACTTGAGTAGTTTATGAGCTTAACCCATTTGTTTACTTTTCAGTATCACCTAAAAGGACGGAACTTAATTCTGCCAATTTCTTATTCTGGTCAATAAATGTGAATTATGTAATTCAAATGGGTGCATTGTCACATTACTGTACAGTACTGTCATTTTATTTGCCAAATACATAAATTATTACAGTATTGATATCGTTTTACCACCTCAGGTAGTCACCATTTATTGTCACTAGAGAGAGAGAGTAGCTGTTTCCAGCATTTGTTAATGTTTTCAATATAACTGAAACATGCAGCTGTGATGATTTGCTCCAAAGTTGGTAATGGAGATATCAGCACACGTACACAAAAGACTAGTAGAAAAAAAATAATTACGTGCCATCGTGGAGGATCATGGATAACATAATTGTTGCTGTGGAACATTGGTCCTGGTGACCAATAGGCTGATGAATTAAAACTATTTCATTTTTTGTATGTATGTTGAACTTTTTTCGCACCGTACATAGCCAACTGTGCTAATCGAAGGTGCGGAGGAACGACAACACACTAAACAAAAAAAGCAGTTCTAAAGAAATGGGTTTGCAATCGAGATTTAAAAGCGCATCTAAAAGCGCTTGATGCGGTGACCGTCTTTGTTCGATGGCAAATGATATGTTGAGATACAGACTTTTGCTTATAAATCTATTCCTTTGTGCTCACATTTTTGCGATGAATAATTATATCAGCAAAGGGGGAAATAAACTCTTGTGTAATTGTATCAAGATAAACATTTTGTGATATAAAAGAAAAATCCCCATTTTTTATCTTGGACTAATTAGGACTTTGAATTCATTCTGAGTGGCCTGGTCCGTCTGCTCAACAACCCTCTGCAGCAGACCTACCTGCCATACTCCACGAAACGCATACACTTCCATCAGGAGCTGCTCGTGTTATTCTGGATCCTTTGTCAACAAAATAAGGCAAGAACCTGCTAATTTCAATAAAGTCAGTAAAAGATTGAAGTGAAGGCATTTGTCTATTTAAGTTCCCTCGTAGCACTGAAAGGTTTGTTTGATGTTTACACCAATTAACTCTCATGGCAAAATAGTTACAAGAAAGTGTGCATTTGAGTGCAACTAAATAAATATGTTCCTACCTGTTTTATTTTAACAATACTAAACCGCATTTTATTTTTCAACGTAATAATGTGCTTAAAACTTGGAACAAATGCTGAAAAGTCAACCTCTTCATTATTACACTACTTTGTGATTTGGACGATAAAATGAAATAACATTTAACAGATGTATTGATATGTTTTACATGTAATCAAATTAAAACATTCTTTTGATTTTGTTCTTGTTGTAGAATTTCTTGTCCTTTGTTTTGAAGACAAATAACATGCTGGGAATTGTTGTTCCCATCCTTTATTACCTGAATGATGCAAGAGATGATGATGGTAAGTCACTAGCTTATATACAAATCCAGCTCTGTGTTCAAGGTTAAGTCTTCAGATAAAAGTGGCGGATGTCATAACCTCCACGATCCAATCATTGGCTACTTATGCTAAGTTTAAAATGTGCTTATTTTACGGAATCCTGCTCTATCACTCATGATAATCGTCATACAAAATACAAACATACAATCAAAGTGCCCAAATGAGGAATGAAAATATAATGAAATCAATGCTGTAATAAGACATTTTAATTCATTATTAAAATGTCTTATTACAGTGTGGGTTTACATGGATATTGCAGCTTATACGAACATAGTATAATCAAGGTAAACGTGCATTGTGCATTGTTTGAACGTATAAAAAGGATACATTTTTAAGCAACGTCTCTTATTCACAAAAAATAATGAATGGGAAGACGCGGAAGTGGTGTATGTGCCATCCTTCGCAGTTTTGACGGCAACATCCTCATCATTTTCAATGGGCACCGTGTTAATCTAAAGCCATCGTCATCTTTCTCTCCATCAATCATCATGAGCCATGGTGTAGTCACTTCTAAAGATCCTTTCCATGCTTTTGACATGCATCACATGCCACAGTTCATATCCTGCAAACGAAAACTCCATGTCCATAGAGGTCATTGTATCAGGCGCATTGCCTGCCTTGGCTGCCATTCCATCATCGGTTTTTGTAATTAGCCGTCATTCCTTTCAGCTAGGTATGTCAGAATCAGAATATTTATTTATACTGGAGAAATCTGATGAGATATACAGCTCTTTTTCACAGATGTCCAATGTATTGATTCACCCCCATTTATTTGATGAATTGTTATAATTAGGGGTTGTGACTTGATTCAATACTAGATTTGCTATATGCAGTACTGATTTTAACTGCCTTATTTGCTTTTTTAAGGAGGTGAATTGTTTAGTGTCGTTCACTCCATGAGACCAATGAAGAAAGATAAGACACACTAGATGATAAATTAAAAAAAAAATCTTTAATCGAATCTCAACCACAAATTGTGACAATTCACCAAATCAACTATTCACCGGGGCATGAATTATTACGAGGGTGCCACAGTGGCGAGATGTTAATTAACTCGCCTGGGAAACAGGAGATTATGGGTTCGATCCCAACCCTGACGCCTGCATATTTGGAGTTTGCAAGTTCTCCCCGTGGTCAATTGGATTTTCTCCGGGTCCTCTGGTTTTCCTTCCACATTTAGAATCATGCGTTTAAGAGTATTTGGCTGCTTTACATTTCCACGTGATAAGCCACTTCGTTTAGCTATCGTTTGTGGCCCAATGGTAGCTTTGAAAAAAATCTGTATAGCTCAGTGGGCCTTACCTGCTAAAATAAAAAAAAGTTTAGTTTGTTTTTCCATGCCGACTTCAGGTGATATCTCTTGAAAAAGCCCACTTTTATTGAGCAACTGAAAAAATATATATACAGGAGCGCTCTGTCCCTGTTTATGCGCGGCATTACGGGTGCATATTAACCCGATCATTGAGGCAGGGTCTGCCTCCCTCCCAGCCCCCTGGCCCCCACTGAGAGTCAAAACGTCACCTTATTTGCAAGATGCCATGACCGCTTCCAGGTAATGCTTCCTATCTACAAAATGTTCAGGTAATACGAATAAGTTGTCTCTGGATAATAGGAAGAAACGCGGATGGCCAAGGCCCACAGATAATGGCCCACATAGTTGCGGATAAAGGAGCCGTGGATAAGAGGAGTCCCACTGTAATATTGTGGATCTTGTTTGTTGTTGTGATGCTACGATGGTGTATAGTATTTACACACTGGGGGTGAGCGGTAGTGTAGTGGTTGGCGCACTGAGCTACGAACCTGGCTATACGAGTTCGATATCCCGCTCACGACAAACATCGGTGACAAATATCTGAACCAATCCTGGGCGTCCGCTAGGTCAACTCAGCCTCAAAAGAGTACCTGGTGCAGTGTGTAAACATCGCCACTTGAGAGACAAAGCCAACCGGGCGTGATGCTGGCCACCCATCCCCTCGTGTGCCATGCCGGCCTTCATTAGGTGCTCGCTAACAGCACTTACTGCAACAGTCTGTTAAGGCTATATGGAGAATATTTATCTTTGCCTTTGTTTGTACACTGACAGCTCAAATGGGGCTACTCTCCATCGGCGTGTTTATTCTCCTTATACTGAGCGGAGAAAGGAACTTTGGGATTCATCTCAACAATTCTTTGTCCATCCGTGTGCCCTTGGGCATCCGGGTGTTCAACGGTACACACGCCGACCTCCTCATCATTGTGAGTTTCCACCCAGTGCAGGATTATGCGTGCAGACCAAATCACATGAGTTTCAAGTCGGACCTTGAAATTGTATTTTACAATACAATTTTGATTTATGTGTAGCATTTAAATGCATATACATTTCAAGATACTGTATTTCAATAGTGGATATTGATATCATACAGACAGTTATAGAGCAAAAAAATAAGATATTGAGCCTGAACCTGCGTGGGCAGGGAGTCAGCAGCACGAATGACAGGGGAAGGGGTCCCAGATTATGGGGCAGCAGAAGAAAATGAGCGACCTCCCACTGAGCAAACATCGTCATTGTTTGTGTGTGAAGAGTGACAATGTTGAGAGGAGTAGATTGAGATGAGGGGAGATGTAGGCAATGGTGATTCAATGGAGGATATTGGAGACAAACTGAGTTTTTAAATTGCTACAGGATTAAATTAGGTACCAGTAGAGGAAACAATAAAAAAAGGCTTTCAAGCCAGAACATTAAGCAAACGTACATTTTGTTAAGGTGCCGTGCCGCATATTTTTGTACAAATATTCCCATGGAAGCATGTAAAAACATATATACAAATGTGTACATGTTAGGCATGCAAGCTTACACCCACAGTCAGATTATAACGCACGTTCGTGCATTGTACAAGTTGTGAATCTTGTAAAAAAAAATCAAGATCTGGGAATTGGAAAGTTGTAATAAGCTTTGCAATGATTGCTTTAGGAATTGTATACTTTGCGTGGAAACATGTGAAGTACCCCAAGATAGACGATATATATATTGGGCGAGGCAATAAGTAGCCAATTCACAACCTAAAAACACCAGCACACCATTTACAAGCATGCCTCTTGATATGACAATGACGTGACACTAATTATTTTAGCATTCTTTCTCGTGTGTTGAAGATAATGTGAACTGTGATGCACATTGGTCTCTGCACAGGTGTTTCACCAAATGATTACAAGAAGCCAACAGAAGTTGCAGAATCTGTTTGACTGTCTCATGACCATTGTTGCTAATGGTAGGTAACCATGCTCAAATATTTTTTGTTTGTATTTGTGGAAGATGGGCAACACGATTATGTGGTGACTAAAAGGGACTCTGGTCAAGGGTTGTGGCGTGGCTAATGCAGTACAGTACAACTAAAAAAGGCAGATAGTTCCCCATTGTGCTAAATGCATGATTGTTTAAAAAGTTATCATACAAAGCAGTTCTTTGGGAACCCTTAAGACTGTTTTTTTTAGGAGGGCCGTGCTTGAGAATTCTCAGCAATTGGGTCACAGCTTTATTGACTGCATTCATTGAACTAAAACACATTGCCGAAGGGGACATTTTCCCAATTGTCGGTGAATAGAGACATTGGTACATTTATAGAAAAAATGGGACAGAAAGAGGCATTTACCAACATAAATTGGGACCCTTTGACATTACACATCTGTGCTAGAAGTGCAGTTTTATGGGCACTGTGGTGACAAGATGTTAACTACCTCGCCTGGTATGCAGGAGGTTGTGGATTTGATTCTGACCCTGATACCTGTATATTTGGGGTTTGCATCTTCTCCCCGTGGTCACATCGATTTTTCTCCGGGTCCTACAGTTTTTCTCTCCACATTTAGAAATATGCGTTCAGAGTATTTGACTGCTATAAATTTACGCATGATAAGCCACTTCGTTGAATTATCATTCGTGGCCAGGTCGCTTCTAAAAAAGAGCTATTTTGCTCAGTGGGCCTTACCTGGTAAAATTGGGAAAGAGTTTTTAGTTTAGTTTATTATTGATTCCCGCAACTGCATTTTTCCATGTTATGAATGGTTGAGAAGTTGTAATGTCATTCCTAAGCTGTGTGCATTGTTTGTAATGTGTGTGTCTTTAGTGTCCCCCTTTCTGAAAAGCATGTCCATGGTCTCTGCCACCAAACTTGTGCAGTTGCTGGAGATTTTCTCTTCACCACATTTCCTTTTCGCTTCACCACACAACCCCAAGCTTCTTCTCTTGCTCCTGGAGGTTTTCAACAATGTCATACAATACCAGTTTAATGGTGAGTGGCTGCAGTTGGAAACATGTCAATGAATACAAAAAAATCCCAAATTACATTTGCAACACTTTTGATGTGGCGAATAGAGTGTGGACCAAAGAGGGGTAAACATTCCTGCCAATGTTGTCTGGAATTCCTCTCCATCCACAATTAAGTTCCATCAGGCAGCTTAATTACAAAATTAAAGCCAATCACTGTTCCATCACCTGTGGGTTATAGTCTCACTCCACGTTCTAGATTATCATCCTGATTGCCATGTGCATTTTAAACAGATCGTCAGTATTCAGAATGTAAGAATTCATACCCCCTCTCTATCATTCAATTAAAGTGTCGCACTTGTAGATCACGAATCAATTCAAGAATAAATCATGTGTCCTGCCGTTTGTACTGTCCCAATTGTATTATCTGTGTGATATGCCTTCTTTAGTTCCGTTTCATTTAGCCATTTTCTTTGTACCATTAGCCTAAAGGTAACATTTGCATATGCTTTACATGCTAAACAATATATTGTTATACAATTCAATGCATGTGTTGTGAGCGTAAGGGTTGAGTTTATGTTTTGAATCATTACATGTGTAGTGTCAACGATTCAGAGACAGAGTTTCTAGGAGGCACTTTCTTTCTTAACAACTTTTACGGTCTCGTCCGGACACTCATCACAGTAGCTGCACCTCGCCTGTACATAACACGAGCCGTCTAATACTGACGATGCCGACTGAGATAGCCAACTACTCTCCTTCCTAGCGCAATATCTAGCGGAGACGTTTAGCGACGACGGCGACGAGATGACAGCAATGACGAGATGAGACGAGTCCATTCCCAGAACCGGCAGCCTCGAGCCCCCCGCTCTCGGCTTCTTTTATGCTCCCAGCTCGGCCTGGCACCGCCCTGACCGCACCTCCCTTCTCGAACCCACTAGCAGGTTCCAGGGGTCTCCAGACGGGGTCCTCCGTGACCCTTACCCTAGTTCCTCTCCTCTGCCCACACACCGTGCACACCCTCACCAGCCTGTGTACTGTCTGTCCACCACAGTTGCCGCTGTTGTCCACCAGCCGGCGCTGTTACACTACACTTGCATAGTACGTTACTTGTATTTCACTATATTCTAGTGAAAGCTGCACGTATATTTGAGCACTTTATTGTATAATGTCTTGAGATAAATGTGCATTCAAACACTTTATAAATACAAACGTTTATTTTTGTACTATTGCAGTCGTATGCAAAACTGGGTCATAGGAGTAGTTGTCAAAATAACTAAATTATATCTTATACTTTGGAAACTTATTTAGAAAATAAGTTGGTTGAGACAATACAAAGTGCAAGGAATGACAAAAACCAGGGGACACTGCTTTTAGAAAATAACGCCTGTGAATGTAGAACATTTTAACCAAGAGGTAGTGGAAGATTGTGAATGTTGTGGCTTGTTCTGTTGTTCTGTTTACGTGACAACCCTTACTAGTTGGCTGTGTCGGGTGATGGCGGGTTTTAACGACACATTTATATATTTAAGCGATCTAACTAAAAAAAACCCTCTATTATGGAAAATTGTGAAAGTCTGATCTGTTGGAGTTTCTATTGCTTAATAATACATTCCGGAGCAAAAGCATATGTCATAACACACGAATACTGTTATACCTACAAAGCAACCCTCATACCCATGTGACAAATTCTCTTTGCAAACACATGGAGAATATAAGTGCATTATGTGATGCTTTAACACTTGCTAACATAAGGTAACGATGATCACTTAATTGGCATGACGTGGTTTGTGCAGGCAATTGCCACCTGGTGTATGCAATGCTGTGCAAGAGGTCCGTTTTCAACCGCCTCGCCAACCTACCTGTGGACAAAGACTTCATTGAGAATACCACGAGGAAGACTGAGGCTCCTCATGGGGTAAGAGGAGGAATAAACTCACATTAGAGATTGGTGCCAGAAAGATGTGGCACTACTTGAGCATGTTGGCACAAGACAGGAAAGTGGAAACAAATGACGAAATGTGCAGTGGGAACCTACGGGCTATCTGCCCGTGGATGGTGATGATGATGATGATGTACATGTATAAAATATAGAGCAGGAAGCAGTGGCACTTGGTTTTGATGGGAATGGTTGTTCATTGACAGGACAAACAGCCATCTATGAGCGTGACTGATTCTCCAGAGGCACTGCAACCCATCTTTCACGGACAACTTGGGACAAGGCTCAGAACGGTTCAAGGTGCCGAACTTGTACCGTTGCTATATTCTTTTTGTTCGGCTTTCATGTGTGGGGGCTTTTCTCCCACATGCCAAACACTCAATAAAGGGACTGGCCAAACAATTTCAATGCAGGACGCTTGCTGCTCAAGAGAGCCTCTTTAAACAAAGTGCATTGCTAAATAATCATGATACATTCTAGCATATCTGTGGAGTGAAGCATGTCTGTGGAATTAAGCAACACTGCTTCAGAGGTCCACTATCAGTCATGAATACAGGTCGGTGGAAGTCTATCGAATCGGTGTGATGCTCAACAATAGCGGTGTACTGTAACCTTCCGTCATAGTTTTTTTCCCGGAACTTGCGCAAACCTGAGAAACCTTTTCAACTTCTCGCAATTTAAATATGAAAGTGATCATCTTACTCGACACTCGTCAACACTGCCTTAAAATAAAAAATATATACTTGTTGATATTTTTTAAAATGGTCCTTTTTCATAACACATTTCCCGAAATGTCACCATATATATTTAACTTTAAGGCAGTGTTGTTAACCAGTGTGCTGAGTAATTTTTGTTAATCATGCTTGTGCATCACTGACAATGCAGAATAATAATCATATAATTTGTTTAATGACTACTATAGTATTCACAAAAAGGCCCCTTGCGTGAGTGCAACTAGACGAGGTTTGCCTGGATAGTGTTTATTATGCAGTGTTCTCACCCTTTTACAGCTGGTGCTGTCTCCGCTATTTTCAGGTGGGTGCTGATGCCCTTGTCTTGAAATTTCACGTAACAAAATGTAGGTTATGATGTGTCTGATGCCATCAAGTGGTAACATCTGTTAAAGAAAAATATGGCTTTAGAAAATTTGGTCCTAAAGCAATATTTAGGCCCAAAGATCGTCCTGGAAATAGCGATACATTAACACTTAATAGAACAGAATGTAGTAATAGGTTTTTACCCTTTTAGCTGGCACAAAAACTGACACCTTTATACAAGGGATCATGTTTGCAATAACCACAACACAAGCAGTCAAAAAATGCAAACAAAAGAGACAACTCTGATAATGATATGCACTGTCCTTGAATTTGATTTGTCCACACCCGAGACGGCTTTTCTTAGAGCCTAGTCTCCACTGGTGTTGGACCAGATGACACCATAAGGCGTACAACTCAAAAACAGCACACTATCAGAGTATTGAGAGCTCGGGGTAAGCCTTTACATTATGAGACCTCCTTTGCCAGTAAAAGAGCTACATAGCTCAGTGGGCCTTACCTGGTAAAATAAAAAAAAAGTTTTTCTAGTTTATTATTGGTGCTATTGCTGGTTGTCAATGCAAGTTCCAACAATGTGTAAAGGAGAGCCGACACAAGGTTGCAGGGGGTTAATCTTTTATTGCTTTCCCCAGTCCACACTCGTTCCCAGCCTTCTCGATCCGGTTCCCGCCCGTTCTCTATTATATCTCCTCACCTGCTCCTTCCTCTTCCACTGTCACCGTCCCACTCCCCCTCCTTTTGGTGGGAATCCTTCCCCTGACATCCCTAACAAATGTATGCTTTCAAACTGGACGCTGGTTTGTCTGGAATTGTGTGAAGATGCAAGATCAGAGAGCAGTGGCCCAGGTGATGGGGCTGCAGAGGTGGGTGTGTGTGTGCGCCCTTCCCAATGTGAAGCAGACTTGTTTGGGTTAAATGTAATGCTTTAAAAAGTTAAATTATATACAGAATCATTGTTCAATAAGTGGTGATGTGTGTGTTGGGGGTCAATTCATGCCATACTCCTTAAAAAAAAACTTTATTGGAAGTCAACAGTGTGTTTAGTTTGTTGTCCTTCCCCTGCACGTACGACTAGCAAGGTTGGTGACGTACGGTGCGAAAGAAGTTCAACATACAGATAGTAGCTGCCACCATAGAAACGTGGATTTTTTTTTACTAAGACCGTTCATCTATTATCGATGAAATCGCTTTCGGGCTCAATTGTTAATTTGGTTCAATTGTCAATTGAGTCCAAAAGCGTCGAAAATGAAATGAAGTGGCGGGTGGTGGCACACTGTGGAGGCGAGGGAGGGTTGGTGGATCGCCCAAATGCTACTCAACTTCCTTCCCCAGCGTCGAGGTGCCATAACCTGGCTTGCCAGGAGAAGGCGGTGTAGAAAAGTGCAGATTAATATCAATCCCTCTTTATGGGAGTGCTGTCCCCCCCCCACACACACACGCGTGGTTTTCATCACGTGGTCGAGTTTTCTCCCACGCATAAACATTAATTGGCTGAAAACATAATATATAGAGAACAGCAGAGCTCGGGAAATTGTTGGCTCCAGCTCACTGGCTGGCTACCTTCCAGCTTGTCTGTAGTACCTCAGCGATTGCGAGGTGCAATTTGCACGTGTGAATGTTGAACTTCTTTCAAACCGTACGTAGCCAACCGTGCTCATCGGAGGTGTGGGGGAACGACGCTATCCAAAACTAGAAACATTGTTATTTAGTAACAGACTTAATGCTTGGCCCACGCAAAGGTTCACACCACACGGCTACAGAACGGAGCATCGGGTGCTTGCGGGAATGCGTCGTTCGTATGCACATTTTGTGACTTTCCTGGCCAAAGGCCGGAAATGCTTTTGTGAACAACTAGTTTTTAAAATAGGGAGACTGACTTTATAAACGTGTGTCATATTGCACCCTGTAGGAGAGCAAATTTTGTGGGACACCCGACTGCCTCGAGAGCACATCCTGGAAACCCACGCCCAAGTGGGTGCGTACCCCAGCCAATAAAGGCAACATTAATAAAAGTGTAAAAGTTCCATGCATACAAATTTTATTTTGGGTTGCTATAGGTTACGTGGATACGGATGTATTCTATAACTAAGCGTCAGTTACATGTACAGGGTAGTCCAGATGTCTTGTGGAGAGATGATGTCGTGGGTACGATCCCGACCCTGATGCCCGTATATTTGGAATTTGCATGTTGTCCCCGTGGTCGCGTGGATTTTTCACCGGGTATTTAGCTGCTATCAATTTCCACATGATAAGCCACTTCGTTAAGTTATCATCTGGCCAGGTCAGTTTTGAAAAATAGCTACATACAGTAGCTCAGTGGGCCTTCCCCTGTAAATAAACATTATTTTTCTATAGTTAATTCTTTAAAACTATTTTTAAGTGAGGTTTATTTAAAACAGAAATAAATATGCAAAGGGTAAAACATTTTTAGAGGTCAATTAATTAGGAGTAACGAATCATCTGGACCACCCTGTACAATCATTTCATACAACCATGCATCTTAAGCTATTGCTCAGTGACCATACAATTTGCAGTTCAGCTCTCGCTCTCTCTTTTCTTCAGTCGTCACGTGGTGGCTAATGATGAGGCTGCCAATTATTTATTAAAGCCCTGTTTTATTTTAAATCCTCTAATGCCATTCATCTATCTCTTGCGTGGGCTGACAGTTTACGTTATGTCCCACTCAGTTGATAGCCGCATGATCAAATGTTAAGTTCTTATATTGAAATTTTTAACTTCGCAATGAAATGTAAACGATGAACTCAATGCACCAACATTAACGTTTAAATTGTAAAAATAAATACCTGATTGCATTCTTCTTTTACAAGTTATCGTAAAACAATACACAAGTACAATAAATGAAAAAAAAATCAGAGTGCAGTGACAACAGTGAAATCCACTTAATGTGCTATTTACAGTATAAACCCCCTTTTTTGTACAAATTTGACCTATAAACAAAGGCTTTCATATTATATCTGCTCTTCCACCACCACAATGATTGACACTATATTCCCTTGTGCAACAGCTGTTTAGTATATCATAATTTATTCGTAAAATGCAATATATTTCACGTATAAGCTGTCAATAACTAGGACATTTGAGGTTTAAAATACGTATTATAGTAACGTAATCAAACATTTAATGCAGTGTTATTTTAACAGGTGTGTTCGTGGAAATCCAAATTGCCTCTGAACACGATAATGAAGTTGCTGCATGTGTTGGTCCCTCAAGTGAAAATGCTGTGCCTTAAGAGGTGAGATGAGACGCACGCACATGTACGTTGAACTTCTTTCGCACAGTACACATTTCATACGTATAGGTGGTCTCTTTTGTTAACACAGCTTATGCTCATTCGTGGTTGTGGTGAACGGAGTGGTTGTCTGACCAGCCTTTATCATCTAATTGAACAATATCAGGTTGTTATCGGATTTTTACATAAGGGAAACAAATATCTTTTTTTTACCGTACAGTAATATTGCTATATGGGATACTGGATTTATAAAGTATTTTGACTTATAATAAACCGAAAAACAAGGATGAAACCGATCCAAAGTTGTGTATCACTGCTACTGTCCGTATGCTACATTTGCTCAAATTTATTTTGATGGTGACCAAAGACGATGGGACCACAATGCACTTCTTCAGGAAATAGAGGGTTTTTTTCCATACGCGCAAAGGCTGCGTGTTATTGTGCATTGTCGCATGTTGTTCGAAATTTAAACCGGGCAGAGATCGTGACAGAAAAAGTTAGATAAACGGATAAGGAAGATAAAACAAGAGAAATTGGTGAAAGGAACTACAGTGAAGCTGCCACTATATTGGAATAAGGGGAACGATAGAGAGATAATACTGGTAGGAACGAAGTTGTAAACTGAGTGTACCAGCCTGCAATAGATTAATGTGTCCGTCCGTCCCCTTTCAATACTTTAACGAAGTGAAATCTCGTGCTGTTGGGTGTAAAATCAGCAATAGACAGCGCAGAGACTTGATATATCTTATTGCACCCAACATTTGGAAGTAACAATGTCATAAAATTGCACAAAATTCCAATGTTCCTACCAGCCCACCCTGCAGGGACCTGTTAAAAATAGAGATAAAGATAGAACAAGAGAGAAAATTATGAAAGGCAGAGTCGGGGATAGTTTTAAAGAAATTTAGAGCAATATTAAATAATCGAAACTGGCACAGAGCGATTACGGGAGAAATATGAAAGAACCACACATCGGAGCGCCGTGAGCCTCATGGTCACACACACTCTGTATGCCCTTCACATCTTCAGCAGCGCATTTCACTTGTCGTTTCACGAGATGGTACTTTAAACAATTACCATAAACACATGTTAAATAAAATAAATACAATGGTGCTTTAAATTCCAACGTAATAAGCCACTTCATTGGACTATCATTTGTGGCCAGGTCACTTCTGAAAAAGATATATATGTAGTGGTCGACTTGACGCGGACAACTTTGTTGTTTTCTCCGGCACCACTTTTATTACAACTCTTCACATTACGTCTGTGACTCTTCACATTACGTCTGTGACTTTGTCATTCCGCTTAGCCGCAGCTCGCTCGCCGCGCTCCGTCCGTCTCGCTCACTCCGCTTCCTCCCCCAACCCTCACTGTCACTCTGCGTCGTCCCTGTCTCTCTCCGTCACTCGTCGTCCCTGTCTCTCTCCGTCACTCGCTGTCTCTGTCTCTCTCCGTCACTCGCTGTCTCTCTTCATCACTCACTGTCTCTGTCTCTCTCCGTCGCTCGCTGTATCCGTCGCTCGCTGTCTGTCTCTCTCTGTCACTCGCTGTCTCTGTCTCTCTCCGTCGCTCGCTGTCTCTCTTCATCACTCACTGTCTCTGTCTCTCTCTGTCTCTCTCCGTCGCTCGCTGTCTCCGTCGCTCGCTGCCTCTGTCTCTCTCCGTCACTCGCTGTCTCTGTCTCTCTTTGTCACTCGCTGTCTCCGTCTCTCTCCATCACTCGCCGTCTCTGTCTCTCTCCATCGCTCGCTATCTTTGTCTCCCGCTGTATCTCCGTCTCTCTCTGTCTCTCTCTGCTTGTCTCCGCTTCTCTCTGTCTCTCTCTCTGTCTCTCTGCTTGTCTCGGCTGTCTCTGGTTGTCTCTGGTTGTCTCTGCTTGCCTCTGCTCTACTGCTAGCCTGTTCTGTCTCCGATGTCTTTGCTCCGGTTCTCCCCGACCTGCTTCGTTCCAGTCCCAGCGACAACTCCCCCTCGTTCTTCCCGTCTCCCGAATATATCCCCGTTCTCATTACCAACCAATTAATTAGGCCGCGTGCCACCGACGCCCCGCGTCCCCCCCCCACACCTGTTACTTGCCCCCCTCTATCCCAGATATCCCGTCGCCACTCCGCCCTTGACAACAACCCCAGTCAATCACAGCCGTACATCGCTTACCAACTTAATTGTCCCGTCATTACTGCAGCACATGGCCGGCCCGACGTAACCCCACTGTCCGTAACTCGCGCGTCTTTACCATTCCCCCCTGTAATGCGCGTGTTAATCCACTACATCTATAGCTCAGTGGGCCTTACCTGGTAAAATACAAAAATAGTTTAGTTGAACAAAATACTCTGGAAGCCATGACTAATGTTTTCATGATTCGTGGCATCTAACTTGTCCGTGTGTGTGCCACTGTATTTTCTTTGTATGTGTGATCGTGCGCCTGTACATGTGGATCGACATCTACGCGTTAGGGGGCTGGAGGATGAAACAGAGATTCTTCGTTACCTGAGGCAGGGAAGCATGGTAGGGCTGCTGCCCGTGCCTCACCGCATCATAACCCATCGGTGTCAGCCCAACAAGGACACCGCTCATTGGTTCAGCACCTACTTCTGGAGTGTCATCTGTAACAGGTGTTCACTCTCCTTATACACGGATGGCATTTAATAATGTCATTGTATCTGATTATTTTGTACAGCCTACGTAGAGCAATTGTTCGAGATTCAGTTGCGAGTGGTTTAGCTAATCAGCGGTTCTCAAACGGGGGTACATGGACTCCTGGTGGTACGTGGCAATGTCCCAAGGGGTATGTGAGATGATTTATAAATGTGTGAAATTATATCATACATGAGAGTCATTGGTGAATATTCATGCACAAATCTACCTATATAAAATAACTACGATAACATTTAAATCCATATGGTAACCGAAGACGAAATAAGAAGACCTTTCTAAACTCATTGATCGTAACAATGTGGTTTACAAAAGTCACCAGTGAACAAATTATGCCATGGATGCAGAGCATCCGTTGAATTTTGTATTCGCTTGCAGTTACTAGCGAGCTAAGATACCTCTTAAAATCGACAATTGGTTAAAATTATTGATGTTCATTATTCGTACATTTATTTCACAGAACCATCTTTAGTCAGGCAAGGGGTGTGTACTCGGTTGAAACAAATTTCAACAAGGATAAGTTAGACGCCACGAATCATGAAAACAAATTTCAACAAGGGCCAAACGAAGGTTGAGAACCAATAAGTGGTTTTGAGAGTTTGTGAATTGTAGATACACCACCTTCACATTTATATTCGGAGCAGTGCAAAGATATATGCTGCGTGGTTTTGAGTTCATAGCCACAGTCGTTCTCAGTATTCGTTGATTTAATTGTATAAGATTACAATGTAGGTCGAAATATCACAGAACAATTTTAATGCACAATTTACACCCCTGTACATAATATGGACAACTTTACACAATATTGTATGTTTAGATGTGGTATGCGTGTATTTTTGCATCAAAACATTGTATGTATATGAACAAAAAAACCCATAAAGTAATTATCTCATTAATGTTTGAACATTTACATGTTAGACATACTCTTTGGTTCTTTCGGTAAAGTTCCACTGCTGGATTATTTTTTCTGCCTGAGGACGGCCGCTTGTGCTGCGATCGAAACGTCGTGATATATTACTGTTTTTTATACCCACGTGACTACCGAAACAACCAAAGAGTATGGATTCCTGCAGTCACGAAAGCTTCAAATCTAGATGTTAGACATATTTGCATATACAATGCTGAGCATTTCTCTTAAATTATTTCTCTTTTGTAACTCAAGCAACCAGAACTTGTGTAAAAAACTTGCGGTAAATATTAAGTACTCTACTTTAGGTACTGCTTAGGACAAGTGAAGATAATTTCAAACGCCTAGAAAAAATATCTATTCATATACAATGTGGATATTCTTAAACTTTCAACTGAACATGCACCCTTCTACCACCACTTCTTCCATGCCCAGCCTTTTCAAGCACCCCTCGAGGTCTCCGTAGCTGATGATGCAAGGTAATGGCTTTTCATTGCAGGAACATAGACCCACCCATCTGGCTTGACTCGAAGATAAAGATGTTCAAGGAGAACGTGTGAAGGCGACACCGAGCAGCCCTCTCCTAGTCGATTGGGGATCTAGCTCACTGCTTGGATGTCTCAGTGTGAACTTACAATTTGTGCCTGTGGCAGATGATTGATTGCATTGTTTCAAAATAGGTTTAGTTGATATTTATCGCGCTGGGCATATGAGCACAGAATAAAACTTGGATGTTTTTAAAAATTAAATTTAAGTCTTGGTCGTTGCACTTTCAGACACCGACTGTATTTTTCCCATTTATTGATAAGTATATGGTCGGTAATACACTCTTAGACAAAGTGAAATGTCTGTTGGTAACCTGGAACAACTGTATTGTATTACCATAATAAGTAGAGAGGTTGGTACATTAATGTGCAAGGATTTCACTTGTGTTCTCTTCCAAATACAATTGCAAAATTATTTTTTTCCAGCCGCCCACCTTGATTGCGCTGCTAATGTAAACTACCGTATTCTCATTATTTGTGCACAGAATGTGTTCAACACCACTTCATCATCATCATCATCGGCTATGGTGAATCTATTCCTGGATAAATGCCTCAAGCAAAGGCCTCACTAACCTACCACACCACTTATAGGAAATTATTTAACGAAAGTAACTTGCCCTTTTCTATTGTGCAGCCTTCCCCATTCCACCAAACAGTTCCGTTATCAGCAGCACTCATAACAAATCAGCACCAAAACGATTACAATGCCAACGCAAGCTAGGACTAATTGGTGCACTTCAGGAAATAATTTAAGAAATCGTCAAACTCTATGAATGTAGGTTTTCATATTCAATTTGATATACGTATAGTTAAAGCCAGAATTGGTAAATCTTAACATTGCATCAGCGCTTTAATGATGCAGTATCAGCATAAAACCATGCATCTGCAGTTTTTACCATTTAGAAATATACCAGCAAAATTGCATTAACGGTTCAAATTTATATTTCAAAATGTGTTGGCTTTTGCTTTGCACGTGTTTGTCAAGGTTGTATTTTCAGGTAGAAAGGTAAATGGAGCAGTATATCATAGACACAAAGTGGCATATTTTTAATCGGCCATTTCACTCAGATGTTTTTGTTGTTAGCCAAATTATAGCTAACCCCATTTGATTTAAACCGGTTGTGGAATTCAAATATCTTAAGCTGAAAGATGTGGCTTTCAAATTTGTTTATAGAAAATTTTATTTTCATCCATAATTCTGAAATACAGCACAATTTAGTGTTATGGTACTAACATAAAACATAAACTGTTACAGAAACAATAACATAACATTGGCCACATCCTATATATTGTGCCGTTCACGTTTGTACCCTCATTAATTCTGTAGCAAGATTTGCTGGTTCCCCGCTTTGTGAATAAACTTATAATTGGTGATCATTTTGGGCATTTTTTTGTTTGTAGAGTCAAGAATAGAAATCGCGTAGTCCACGATTTCTCCCGTTGCCAATTCCCCACGGGATATCGGCAAAGCGGATGGCATAAATGTCCATGAGAATGATGTTCGCGTTAAGGGTGGATCTTTATTTTTACTACATCTCAAGCCAGGCTGGTCCACGTAACCAATAACGCAATGCAGGTCATACCATTGTAATGCCTTTCACGGGGGGGGTATTTCTGAATTGGGTCAAACCATTTGCATGGTTTTCACAGGGGATGGGTGGGTGGATAGTAAGTTTTCAAATATATTCCTCTGTTCTGTGCAACATTGCTATTTCATCTCCACAGCGCCAAACTTGGCAAATCCCATTTCTCCACAGCCAGTAAGTCACAACCAAACAACCGCGCACGACAGAACGTGAGAAGCGGGCACGGCGCGTGTGTGTTTGCGAAGGGACGGAGGTGAGTGGAGTTGGGGGGGGGGGGAACCCTCTGATCTGACAACAGCAGGGAAAGTAGCAACAGCCGCTCAAGAGTTCGACTACCATCGGACTGCGCTAAGACAGGCGACTACCATCGGACTGCGCTAAGACAGGCGACTACCATCGGACTGCGCTAAGACAGGCGACTACCACTCAGGCACGTGGCAAAGCCGGTCGCGCTGGAACGTCTTCGTTTCGTCGCCTCTCGCTCAAGGGCGACCCTTTATTTTTTTGGTTATATTTGTTGACTTTAAGAAAGGATATACAGTAATATGCGAGCGCGGCCTTTCATTCTAGCGGCCACTCGCACCCTGATAACGACAACGACCGAGAGCTCGCAGGCCTGGCAATGTTTTGTAAGGCAATCACAGGTTACGTACAACAACGACATCACCACGGCGCTTGTGCCAGGCTAGGTGCACCACCGTGAGGCCACGCGGTATGTCGAAGGGTCGCTGCTTGCAGGAGGTTATGGGACAGACCCCGGGTGTGCCATGGGTTGACTTGGCTGAGATGACCGGCAGATGCATCAGCTGTGCCCCCCCACCTCCACAGTACCAACTTGCTGCATGCCCTCCGCTCTCCGTTGTTGCTGGAGGGCGACTGCCTCCAACTACCCAGCAGCAGCCTCAGCGTCTTTCACCAGCCTCCTCCTCCACAGAGGCCCATGTTGACCACCGCTGGTTACCGGTCATCGGCAAGTCCACTCAGCTCTAGATCCTTTCGTACCACATAAATCCATTTCATCCATCACGTGTCGTGCACGTTTAGCCCCATCTATCCGGCCGATCAGAAGCTGCTTGGGCATGCGGGCTACGTGACCCCAGCCAACGCAGCCTCGTCCTGGCCCCTGGTAGTTCACCGATGGGACTGTGTCCAGATCTGTCAGTACTGTGCGAGATCCTCGCACGACCCGGCTTGGGTTAAACCCACGATGATGCGAGACTTAGTATTTTAATTTCTGCGCTTAATTGAATTTGCTTTCTCCCATCGTTTGACAATTGCGTTGCCCGGCAGGAAGGAGCTTGAGCGTCATGGCAGCGCAAGAACGAATGAGTTCCAGCCACCGGTTGTTCCTTCAAAAAATGATGGCACACGGGTGCTTGGACGTTGCCAGCTCTGTAAAAGTGCACAAGGAATGCTGCCACCAGTTTAAAGGTGAGGGCGAAACTCAATAACTTGTTGGACGCATTATCTTCTATTATTCAGTTCCAATATATATATTTTTTAGCTCGGCGGTGGTGGCATATGTCTGTAAGCCAGCCAAGCTTTTTCTAGACTCCGTCCACGAACTTTTTGGTTCCAAGAAATTGTCTACGATTACCCTGCACTTGGATGTTCTCAAGCGGCTGTTTTTGACATTTTATTAACCCATCGGTTGACCATAACTTTAAGGTGTTTTATTTTTTCTCAAGAACAATCTCGAAGTCTTATTGGGCAGCATGAAACGCAGCCAATGTATGGTTCTACAAGATGAGGGCTGTTTGTTTTTGGTGGCGTCGAAAACTTGGTAGCCAAGTTGGTTAAATCAACGGATGCTGTCGGGCACCTGATTTTAGAGTTGTTTTATTGAAGGGCAATTTTCTTTGTTGTCAATTGGGAGGTCTATGGTGAGAACATGGTCTCTGTGTTTAGTACATGTATGGAGCAAATGTGGAGCGTCGAACCCAGTGGGAACAAATATTGACATCGACCTTTCATGAGAAATATTTCACATTGGTGTGTTTTTTTTCCGTGTTCTTATACTTTACGCAACTGAATGCATCCCGAAATGGCGTGTCTCTTCGTCGCAGAACATTATGCACATGACCAGCTGGATGCATTTATTGGCGTTATCAACAACCACATCCGGCCCTTCTTCATGGTGATCAAAAAGGGAACCTCTGAGGAGGATGGGAAAACGCACTACGCCTTGGTGAGTCACCTGCAGACACTGCTGTTGGAAGAGATTGGGCTTTCTGGGTGCCACGGTGGCCAGACATTTACTACCTCGCCTGGTATACAGGAGTCCGTGGGTTCGATCCCAACCGTGACGCCTGCTGTATATTTGGATTTTGCGTTACCCTCTCTCCCGCGTGGTCACGTGAATTTTTCTCCGGACCCTCCATTTATTCCCTCCACATTTAGAATGGACGTGCGTTTAGAGTGTTTGCCCGCTGTAAATGTCCGCGTGATAAGTCATTCCGTTGAGCTGTCATTTGTGGCCAGGTCGCTTCTGAAAAAGCGCTATATAGCTCAGTGGGCCTTAAGGGCCATCCATTTAGTACGTACGCATGGAGGAGGTGGGGGGGGGTTAACCCAATTGTGTACGCTTGCGTATGGGGGGTCTAATGTACGTACGCATAGGAATCTGGGGGGGGGAGGGGTTGAAGCCTCGATAATAATTTGTCTACATTGGCCTTCAAATGATTTCGATAGAATGAGTTAGCTAGTCCAGTTGGTGGACTATCTGTTTGCTTAAACACGTTAATATTATTATTAATCCTTGATCGTTTCTGCATGGATTAAATATCGGCCGTTCTATAGGATTTGGGGGAGGGGGTGCGTCAAGCGTTCATACGCAGGTGGGGGGGGGGGGGGTGTAAAAAGTACGCGTGCGTACAGGGAGGGGGGAGGGGTCAAGTTTTGACAAATTTTTGCGTACGTACTAAATGGATTGCTCCTTACCTGGTAAAATACAAATAGTTTATAGTTTTTTCTAGGCAAACTTTTTTAGTCCGAGAGCCACCCCTTAAAAGGGGTGTAAAAAAGGGGCTCTGTCGTTGGGATAGAATTGTATTTAATGTTCGAGCCGTGGTATCAAGTACAGCCTGTTCTCCTATAACACCGCGTGTTGTCATAATGTGAGTTGAATATAACATGATGAATGTATTAGGGAACAGGCTGTATTTGATTCATAATGCGGATGTGACTTGGATATAATGCGATCGAGTGAACAGAACTACATCTCGCGAGTAGGAATATACGGGATTCTTCTAGATGCTATCCACGCGCCTCAGTCTTTGTTCAGCCTGCGTACGCATCTCACTGTGTTATCGCGGACTGTGCCTTACCCTATATCATACATTATTTATTATAACGCGATTTTTCCATAACACAGTGTTCTTTGGGAACGTAACTACTACCGCGTTATGGGAGAACAGACTGTGTATGCGAGTGCGACCACAAATCCCTAAGCACCGACCGCATTGTAAACACTCAGCCGCTGTGGGCCTTACCGGAAAAAAACCGGACTGATTCGAATTTTCCTGATATCCTACTTTTACTTGAAAAGGTGTATTGTCTTGATTTTCATGCATGTTTGGTTATGTGCACGACTGAACATACGTTGAACACAACAACGTAACAACGTTGCTGTACCCGTCTTCCTTTCTCAGATTAATATCGAACAAAATGAAGTTACTCTCTTGGCTTCTGATTACTCAGAGGTTGAGCTTGAACTCTTCAACAAAACAGTGAGTGTGGTGTTGGTGATAGAATATTAAGTTCCCGCATCATACTTGCACGGTTATCCCCTTCACGGCTTGCTCACAGGGTTGTGGACCAGACGGCAGTGTCATCTTGTTCCAGCAAGTGTTGGTTGGATGGTTTCCACCTCTGCTGGCTGCCATGGACGAGCAGTGGCAATTCCACATTCCTGGAGTGTGAGCAATTCTCTCCATGGTTGTGTAATGACGACTTGACACACTTCTCTTGAGATGTCACTTTATTGAAGACACATTCACTTGATATCAGGTGGAGACCCACTTTAACAGCCCCAAGTCTCTTGTGCATCTCTCTTATATCCAAACCGAGGCCACCACCCCTTTCTCGATCATTCTCGCTGACTCTGGACGCTCGCTGCACCGGCAGACTCCACCGTCCTCTTACGTCACCTGACAATGCTCCCTTCTCGATCATTCCCGTAGCCACCAGTCCCTTCGCACTCACAACTGATACCCCTGTCATTACCTCCCATGACCATTAGTGCATTCGCACTGAAGGATGACTCCCCTGTCATTACGTCCCGTGGCCACTAGTCCACTCACACCACATGCAGGCTCTATTGTCATTACAGTTGTACTGTTATTATTAATCCATTCTCACTATCATCCCAGCCACAGTGCTAATGATAGCCCCTAACCCTGAGTGCTATCTGCCAGCCATAATCTGAACACTAACTTATACAAGAACGGGCATTATTCTTATAATGTGGTTATTGTTGTAGTGTCATTGGGAAATAAATCACAAGATATCCATGTCACTTACAGTTCACTTAAGTGACATTCCGTGCAAATGTGCGGGCAGTGCTAATTATTATAATATAAGCGGCAAAGGCACTTTTATTGGGCCATGTGTCACTACACAAGCTACACAGGTGCTCTTTGTTGTTCTGTTTGCGCAACGTGCGAGCAGATGGAGCTAATAGTCGACAGCGGAGTGGGTATGGCCTCCTCTATGGACATCCTGAACCTGGTTGACCAGCTGCAGTGCAAGAAGATGAAGAAGGGCAGTGCCGAGTTGCTGCTGCAGCGCCTGGTGCAAGACAAGTGGCTGTGCATGGTAACCCCTCCCTGTCAGAGCCATCAAAAACAAAGATCCCCACTCCCCCCCACCGTGTAGCCGTAACAGACTGTAGGAGCAAGTGCTGTTAGCGAGCAGCACCTATGAAGGCTGGCACGGCACACGAGGGACTGGGTGGCCTGCACCATGCCTTGCCGCCTTTGTCTTCGCAGTGGCGATGTTTACGCATCGCAGCAGGTACTCATCTGAGGCTGAGTCTACCTAGGGGGAGCCCCAGAAAAGGTTCAGATAATAATCGTCACTGGTGGTGGCCATGAGCAGGAATTTAACTTGTGGCACCGGGTTCGTAGTGCAGGGCGCCAACCGCTCCACTCCTGCTTTCCACACTTGACCACGTTCGTTACAAAAGCCCCCAGAGGAGATACAGAGAGATAGGAATTACGACCATCTCTTCTCAGTCTCATGACTTGTACAGTATGCCTTTTGGTATTCGCCAGGGATACGCTTCGGAGATGCTCGTGAATACAACAAAAATTGCAGATAATGATCGTGAATAAACTTAAACAAAATACATAACTAAGCTATTCAATACATGAAATATATAATAACACAAATAAACATTGGTTATAATCATTTATACGGTAAATACATATTTATTTAAAAGTATTAAATAATAGTTTGTAAATGCAGTTGTATAGAGTTTCCTGCACCTGATTAGCATTCCGCACTTCCTGTTAGCACGGTTGGCTACATACGTCATCGGAAGGGAGAGGTTTATGCAACGCTTATTACTGACAACAGTTTTTGACAATTATTTTCAGCATGCAATTGGGTAACCCAGAACTGTGTGTGCATTTTTGTTGCAGGAAAATGGATATTTAAGTTTAAGCCCACGCTGCCTCATTGAAATGGATCCTTTCATTCGTAGTCGCTTCAGCAATGTTGAAATCTGCTCCCTTTGTCACAAAATCGCCCTGAAGGTGGGTCTGGGTGTTTTACGCAGGCCTGTGTATGCGTATCTTTCCAGCGTAACCCTTTAATGTGACCGTCTGTTGTGCTAGTTTTATTTAAAAATCGGTTGTGAAAAAGAACCGGTTTTAATAGTACTGTACGTAGCCAACTGCGCTAATCGGGGGGGACAACAAGCTGAACACAAAAAGCGGTTTTCAAGTAATGGGTTTTCAATCTAGATTTAAAAGTGCATAGCTCCAGTGGTTTCCTAATATCGGAAGGAAGCGTATTCCAGACGGCCACAGAAGCGCATCCGAAAGCGCGCGATGCAGTGACCATCTTTGTTCGATGGCCCAACCAAAAGCCACTGCTGCGAGGATGACCAGAGTACACGCTGCACCTCGGTAACGTTTTTGCCAGACGTCCCCTAGAGTAGTAAGTTGAAATAATCGAGATAGCTTGTGTGGAGACGGAAGTGCTGGCATACATTGACCTCCGCACCCCGAGCTGGCACCATTGAACGGTTGGCTCTTCTTCTTACAGCCGTGCACATTTCTCAGTTTGTAGACAGACAGACGGACAGACAGAATTAACATTTCGATTTAAAGCTTTCGTGACTGCAGGGATTCATCTTCTTGGTTCTTTCGGTAAAGTCACGTAGAAGGGAAATAATAAAATAATACAAAAACCTACAATTTTTTATTTTTTATTTTTATTATTTCCCTTCTACATGACTTTACCGAAAGAACCAAGAAGGAGAATTAACATTTTTGATGTTGCCCTCCGCTTCCACCCTTGCCATCTGAACTGCAGGGCCAAGTCTGTTCCAACTGTAGCGTGAAGGTCCACGCTCCGTGTTCTGCCAAGTTCTTCAAGAGGAATCGGTCTCGCGTGTGCCCTCGCTGCAAGAGTCCCTGGATCAACGAGCCCCCCGGTGAGATCTCGAAAGCCACGTGACAATGCACGTCTTGTACAATGCAAGTGTAACTTAAGAGGTTTCATTATTATTTCAAACATAAAAGCATCATAAAAATAAGAATAGATTTTACCCCTTTCTGGCAATAAAACAGGTGTTAAGATGTTCAAACACCAAAAATAAACCTTTTGTAAAGAATCAAGTTCACAGTATAACCACATGTACTTGTGGTGAACATGCTAGCAAACGAAAAAAGGTCCCATTTTGTAGCCGCTCATCCCGAGTTATAAATGCCCTGATAGTGCCATTGCCCTTGTCCTGTTTGCCCCTTTTGGCGTTCTCTGGTCTGACACTGGTAGTGAGACAAGGCCCTAATGAAGGCTGCCTCTTGTGTAGGCCAATCAATTTCAAGGACAATGCGTATATGATCAGAGCATGTTTGTTTGCATGTTCACCACAAGTGCTGTGTGTGGTTAATGCAAACTTGATTCCTTGCAAAATATTTCTATTTGATGTTTGAACATTGTAACACAACTGCTTTATTGCCAAGGGGTAAAAACCTATTCTGATTTTTTCATACTTTGATTCTGGCAAAAAAAGTCCTCATTTTTATAAAAGCATCATATTAAACTTCATTTTTAAAATTATGGTTATGAAAACGAACAAGAATCAAGTTTATTTTGACTGTCATGCAACAAACATCTCTATAAGTGTGGATACGAGGGCACTTGACGGTATCTCAATGGTAATTCTGTATTGTCACCTTCACCGGGCTGTTTTTTTTTTACACTTGCATTGCTTGGTGAGAATTTGGAAGGGACGTGTCCAGCATGACATGATGTTAATATAAGATTAGGACAAAATAACATGGAAAAAATATATGGAGCTACTGATAATCTAATCTGCCCAGGTGTGAGTGTTAACGAGTCAAACGATGTGCAGTAATCAGCATCTCGGCACTGGATTCGGCCACTGGCACCGGGTTATCTTAAAATGTGTCACATCGGAGATGATTTGTTAATTGTACCATAATGACAACAATAATGGTCCATACTTGCATTAAAATTCTCTCTACGCCAGGCTATGGTAGTGTTTCCTATGGATGTGACATTAAGGAATGGATGTCAGTTGAACAGCTGCATTCATGGAAACTGGTGTCCACTCGGCAAATTCATTTATTTTATATTTATAGTTCAAATTTAAGACAATCTCAACAAGAAAACTCAACCATTTTTTCTTATTTTATCAGGTAAGGCCCACTTAGTTATTTAGCTCTCTTTCAGAAGTGACCTGGCCACAAATGATAGCTCAACGAAGTGGATTATCATCTGGAAATTTATAGAAGCCAAATACTCTTAAACGTGCGTTGATTCTGAATGTGGAGGGAAAAACCAGAGGACCCGGAGAAAAATCCACGCGACCACAAGGAGAACACGCAAACGCCAAATATACAAGTGCCAGGGTTGGGATCGAACCCACGACCTCCTGTATACCAGGCGAGGTAGTTAACATCTCATAGCCACTGTGGCGCCCTGATTTATAGCCACATTGTGGTTATTGGATTCCATTGCTTGAGGCATCGCATCCATACTTTCCACGATGGGTGCATGATCGAAGGTTGGAGCTATGCGCAATTTACCAAAGCGTGTACCTGCTTTGGAAGCAGCACAGTGTCTTATGGTGGCTTGGTGTGTGAAATCAACGTAAAAAGCTTGAAAGTGTTTGAAATGAACTGATCTGAAACGATCTTAGGGCTACAAATGTATTTTTAAAATTATAAATACATTTTTTAAATCTGTAACTTGCTTTGTTATCCACAGACGATGAAGGCAAAAGTTCAACGTCTTCAGATGCCATGGAGCTATAAGTCTGCAAGATGTACAGATGGTGCAGCGAGTTGTGGTTACTGTGTACGTTCTTGTGCTTTACACTTTTTGGATATTTGAGACTTTTAAGTCATTACAGTAAAACCTTGGATTGCGAGTAACTTGGGTCTGCGAGTGTTTTGCAAGATGAGCAAATATTTAAAATAAATATTAATTTGATAAACGAGCGAGGTCTTGCAATACAAGTAGTGTATGTGTACGCTTTGTCTGCCGAGCATCACGTGATCACAACTGATATACGAGTGCTTTGGATTACAAACACGTTTCCGGAACGATTTATGCTCGCAATCCAAGGTTTTACTGTATGTGGTTCTTATTCCAGTGAGTATTTTTCATGCTAAATACGTTATGACAAAAAATTGTCAAAATCAATCCTGAATACAGTTCGCCATAAGCAAAAATGAATCTAAACAAATGATTCATAATTCGTTTATTTTTCAGTCAGATGATGTAGATGTACTTTCAGATTTAAATATAACCGCCCACCATCCGACAGAGCCAATGAACTCGGGTCAGCACGTGGTTAAATGTGCCAAGTGAATTTTGTTTTCAACAAACCGGAACATTGAAAAGCAAGCAATAATTTGAAAATCGTACATACTGTTTCGCTGGAGATTACAACTAGAAGCTCAGCTGTGGCCGTGGCGTGTTGTGAATCTTAACATTGGTCTTGGAAGCCTTTGTATAAAATTGTCAACTAATTCATGAATGAACTGGACCGTAGTTTAAGTTTTTGCTGAATCGCTTATTTTGAGTGTTGAAACTCTTTCACAAGCTCGTCTGAGGTGGCTTGCAGACAGCAGAATAGCGAGTGGGTTTCGTAAACCTGTTTTGATTGACTTGTATCCATTTCCTTACATGCATAGGGATTCTCAGAATGCCAATTTCTTCACACGTGCAAAAAAAAAATCCCCCCGTCAACACATTTCTGCCGAACATTCCGATGCAGGTCCCTTGTGAAAATATTCTTGAGACCGAGACGTTTCTTAATAAAGGCTATTTAAAATCAACATTATTAAGAATACATCAAAGGGACTACGAATGTGGTCACTTCTTTTTCTTCTTGTCCTTCGCGGAATGTGGCTTCGAGTTGACAGAAACTTTCACCGCAGACGTCGACTTTGTAACAGCTGGGGAGTTGGCGGGCCTCTCTGGCTCCTTGCTGGTAGGTTCATCGGGCCGCACCTTTGCCCCTTCCTCCCACGGGAGAGTTGATCCCTGTTCGTTTAGTCCGTCTCGTTCCACAGCGTGCATTGCCTCCATCTCCAGAGCCATCCGCTGCTCCCTAATACATTCAGACAGGGTACCCGTGAGGTGTTCGCGGGGAAAAAAATATATAAGCGATTAATAAAAAAACATAAACGATTAATAAAAATTTATAAACGATTAAAACCAGGACCAACTAAATAAAATATGGAGGCATCGCAGGATTGTGAGAGGGGGTAGCAGATTTGTGGAGACATTCATCCAGCAGTGCATTCATTGATCAGGGCTGATGATGAACTCTATCCATCATGAGAACCCACATTTCACATCCGCATTAGGTTTGACCAAAATAAATAAGTGTTGCTCTTTAAATACATCTGCTGGAACAAACCAATGAAATAACATTTATTTACTTTCCTAACGTGGTTGCGTGTAGTTATTAGTGGTGTCATTACAATGCTTCAAAATCAAACTGTCGATAACCAAAGTCTACATTGTAAAGAGTCGTTAACACTCCAAGGTTTCACAGTCAGTTTTCGATCAATGACTAAATTAGAGCCAGCTGATGAATGAGACGAAACTCTTCGTCCGGGTCACTAGTAAAACTAATAACTCAATGGGCCTTGCCAGAAATAAACTAACTGCTGTAAGGGAAGATGGATTTTACGTTTGATTCTCATTTAACGTCTGGTTCTTCAATACGTATGTAAAAAAGTACGCTTAATTTATATCGTGACTTTGTATTGATGACCTTAATTAAACATGGCAATTCATACCTTTGTGTGTTTTCGTGGGCCAAAATGTTATCTACGTGGGCAGCAAGTATGAAGACGTGTGTTAGCCGTGGTGTACACAGGCCAATCAACCTCAAGAGTAATTAATATTGCCTTATAAGTCACAATAGTTACATAATAACGCTTTCATCTTGTAACTTGCACAGTATTCGCTCACTCTTAAAGAGAGAGCGACTTGAAAGCAAATCATTGGTGTAGACCCCTAACTTTTGATAAGAGGTCAAATCTTGACTTAAAACTTTCGTGACTGCAGGAATTAATATTCTTGGTTCTTTCGGTAAAGTCACGTAGATAGAAAATAAAATAAATACATTTAAATAAAAAATAAAAGCCAAAGAACCACGACGTTTTGATCGCACCACAAGCAACAGAGGTCAGTTTTAATACTTGGGCAAAATCACTAAAGGCAGCATTTTATAAAGTAGTGCCTCGTACAGAATAGGAACTTTGGAGAGTTGATGTATGTAGTTTTCTTGTATCAGTCATGAAGCTTTAATTACTCTACTTGTAGTTTGCTTCCATTTTCTGAGGTTGCGTGTACATTTATACAAATTTGAAGAGACGTTGCAATGTACTCGGTGCAATACCAACACGAAAGTCGGTAATGGCAGTGGATATAATCCCAGTGCGTCCACATCAATTGCTGATTTGAAGCTTTCGTGACTGCAGGAATCCACACTCTTTCGGTAAAGTCACGTAGTTAGAAATAAAATAAAAACAAATCACGACGTTTCGATTGCAACACAAGCAATCATCATCAGGTGGGAAAACCACAGCAATATTTTTTTTGCTGAAGTGGGAGAGAGATGCCGTGGTAAGAGGTTATATAGGATGATTGCTTGTGTTGCAATCGAAACGTCGTGATTTGTTTTTATTTTATTTCTAACCACGTGACTTTACCGAAAGAACCAAAGAGTGGATTCCTGCAGTCACGAAAGCTTCAAATCAACACATTTTACATCTTTTGTAATTTCCTCCCCCCCCACCCCCCAGTTATATCCAGCTTGTGCTATCGGCATCACGTCACGAGATGAAGAATTTCACTCTGATCTTTCGCTGAGCAGTACGACTCTTCACGTTAGAGAACGGCCCACAGAAGCGAACACTACAGAGCTACCTCTGAGATCCCCTCGGGTAACGTCTGGTCCACACGCAGTAGAGGGCAGTACGGTACTTTCTACTCGCCCTGCATATAAGCATCGGGTTCATTACATGATGGTCAAACTGATATTTATAATTGTCAGAGACAAAATGTAACAAAATGAAGTAATTCATTTTTTCGTGTAGTCATTGATGACCAGGTTGAGACCATTAATATACGACTTGAGCACTAGGTTTATTCACAGGCAGCTGGCTGGATTTGAACCCAGGACCTCAGCAGTAAAAAAGTATTACTATTTTTAATTTACCAGGTAAGGCCCACTGAGCTATATTGCTCTTTTTTTCAGAATCTGGCCACAAATGATAGCTCAACAAAGTGGCTTATGTGGAAATGTGCAGCAACTGAATACTCAAAATGCGTCGTTCTAAATGAGGATCCGGGGGAAATTCCACGCGACCACGGGGAGAACATGCAAACTTCAAATATACAGATGTCAGTGTCGGGATGTAACCCACAACCTGCATACCAGGTGAGGTAGTTGAGCTGTGATAGCTCTGACCTCTTGAGCCACGTTACCACCTCGTTGCACGTGCCTCTGTGTGCACGTACCATGCCTGCCGGACCTTGATGTTTTCATTGTAAGCACGATCAGCCTCCTGGTCTTGCTCCTTTTTGGCCGCAGCTTTCAGGGCCTCGTTACGTTCAAATGCTCCAAACAGTTTCTCCACAAAAAATGCGTACAGCTGGTTTTTCCAGGCATCTTCAACCACAGTATTACCATCATCTGCAAAACAACACATGAATTGCATTCTGCGATTCAAATAATTTCACTCGGACGTTTGTATACCATTTACGACATATGAATGTAAATAGCACTAAACTCCAGCCCTTTGTCAATCCACTGCTAGATTAGGGCCTGCCTACACCGTACAGGTAGTGGCGGTTATCTGTCCCTACAATTTGGTCAGTGCTGGTGAAGGCAGGGAGCATAGAAGTACAATACAACGAATATTCAGTTTAATACGTAGGCTTTCGCGACCAATATTATTCATAAAGTTTTTTGGGTTAGATCGCGTTATTTATAAATGTGTCGTAACCCTCCACCACCCGAGACGGCCAAACAGTAAAAAATGTGTCACGTTTACAAAAGACAAATAGTTCACTACTTCAGCCCACTGGTGTGTTGAAGAGTGAGTCAACATAATTTAAAATTTGGAGTACGACGTTTCGCTGGTAATTACATCCAGCATCATCGGGCAATTTGCCAGAATAAAAAAAGTGCATATATAAATGTTTTGGAAAAAGCATAGCGTGTGTATGTATGTTGAACTTCTTTCGCACCATACATAGCCAACCGTGCTAATCGGAGGTGCGAAATTACTTGACGCACAACGATCGACTTTACGCACAACTATTCGTGGAAATCCATTCTCGGGTTGTAGCCTGTGATGACTCTTGCGTGGTGAATTCTTGCGTAGTGGACTCTTGACTCTTGTCCACTGGCTGAGCCGTTTGCGGCTCCTCGAGTTTCCACCGGCCCCATTGCTGCTGTCGCTCCGATTCCCTCCGGCTCCATCTCGCACGTGCACCACTGCAACTGTGAGCCAAGTTTGCCTCGGCGCAGGGCTCCATAGCATTTCGGCCATCCGACCTTTCCGGCACGCTCACCTCGGCACATGCTACCAGAGCCTCAAGGAACTCTAGAAAGGTGAGCTATAAGGAAGTAAATTAACACGGAACACATCAATGCACCTCACGACCGTACAACTTGCCAGAGGGGATATTCTGTTGGCGCGCCATTAATTTTATCGAAGCATTACGTGTTTGAGGTGCAATGGTCATCGTATAATTGCACAAGATGTGGCCGTTGATGCCAACCACCCCACCTCGCCAACGCTATACCGCCTGCCAGCTGCAGCAAAGGCAACATGCGACAACCTCCAAGATCTGCCATAACAGTATCCCTGCCATCTGGCGTCTGGTCAAATGGCGTAGTTTTGTTGTCCTTTTCCCGCACCTCCGATTAGCGTGGTTGGCTATGTACGGTAAGAAAGAAGTTCAACATACAACTGTGGAAATAGTATTACCCTCTGGGTGTGGGCAGGGTGCCTCATGCTACATATGAATCACTTGACACACTTGGGCACCGTTGCAAATGAGATGTTGGATCTAAAGGAATTCTCCAGGTGACATCATTAACAAATTTAACAGATTCAGTTTGAAAATATATACCATAAGAATAAAATGTATTTATATTCACGGATTAACCAAGAAAACTGTCGTGTTAATAATTTTGCTTAAAAATGTTTAAACAACCAGTAATCCGGAACCCACTACATATGTAAGGGATGTCAATGGTCAGCCAGTCATCTCAGTCGACCTGTGGCATCTGGGTCTGCCCCGTGACCTGCCAGCGGGCGTTCGACACTTCACGTGGCCTCAAAGTGCACATAGCCTGGCACAAGCGTCGTGGTGACGTCACCGCCACTTAGTGGCGAATGGCGGTTGTTAGGGGTAGGAATGGAGAGGATTCCCACAAAAAGGAGGGGGGCAGTGGACCAGGAATAGTGGAAGGGGGGAGGAGCAGGCGAGATAGAGGAGGGGGGCTCGGGGCATTTTGGCGGGGAACGGATTGAGAGGGGGCTGTGGGCAAGTGTGGACTGCAGGAAAATAAAGGACGCCCCCCCCCCAACCTCGTATCGGCTCGACATGTATATGAAAGCCAGCATGTGATGGAAGTGGCCACAATTGACATACCTCGTATGAAAGATTGCAGGATGCCCCATCTGATATTGCCGGATTGTCCAGACTCAAAATCTCCATGACTTTTGCTGCTGAGAGTGACTTGGAGATGAGCTTAAAATCCTTATTAAACATACATTTCCACACAGAATAGGGATATATGTGT